CAAACAGTTACACCTATATAAAATTAGTCTATAGATAAATACCCATAATCTCTTTTGTAAATAAATGCAAAATATTTAAAAAAGTTAAGATAACTTGTTTGATTAATACATAAGTATCCTTCTCTACATCTATCTGAACCAGTTTGAGCTTGAGTAAATGTATGGTTTCCTTGTTTCAAATGAATAATTCGAAGTTGTCACAAGTCTCTAATATTGAATACGCCATGGACCGAGATGGGTGCATGTCCTTGAATTTGTAGCACATGACGTTTTCAGTGTTCAATATTGCTCGGTGACAAGCATGTTCGGTTTATTTTCCGCTTATTTCGGTGTCCAGAGTGTACCATTAAATTAGAAAAATGGAATATAAAGGTCATGTTAAAATCACAATGTTTTTAGAATAGAAGAAAATATGACATTGGTTTATAGATTAAATGAGAGCCAGTGGTTGGCAGAATAAATCAAACACAAAATTAAATAATGATAATACTTTACAAACTTCTAATTAAGCGATACAATGTCCCAAGTAAAACTTCCGCTACTGAGCATAGGTTCTTTAAGGTTTTCCTACGTATCAAACCTCTTCAAATTTGATAATCAATATTTTCATTTCACCGTAAACTGGAATTTCTTTCATTCTTTCAAGATTTAAATGGTTTTGCGTGATTTTATTCATTTTTTATGCGTTTAATTTAGATTACCCTCTAAAGGTTTTATGCAAAACGGAAGATAAAATTTTATATCCTGCAAGATTGTCTGAAATGATAAGCTCACGAAATTAGATCTTAATTGATGGTCACTGGTCCTATTCAAAACTAAAAAAACTTTTACATTTGAATTGATAAAAGTAACTAGAAGTAAAGGGTTGCCTTACAAAGTGACTATTTTCTACTTATTTCTTGATTTATGCTGTAGCTAAAGTATACAATAAAGTAATGATTTCTGAGTGTGTGAATATTCCCAGTTTGACGCTGAACATTTATACATATTCTTCAATGAATGTCTCTGAATATATTAGTGCTATAAACATTAAACACATAATCATTCTAACGGTTGAATAAATAAAAATTCAAATATCAAAGCAATTATTTGTTTCTTCATAACAACTGATTTTTATATGACATGTATTTCCTTTTTTTAGATAAACATTCAGATATTACATAATCATAAACAAAACAACTTTTTAAAATAATCAGTTATAAAATGTGAAGTACTATTGTTTTCCTACTGTTGGGGATGTTAGATCCCCAGAACTCGCTTGATCAATGCCTTATTTTGGATTTCACGTTTGCGAGCATGGGCTGATCAGTTGACCTTGAGATTTCAGTTCCCACCAGGAAAATCCTTGGCTGTGATTGGCTGCTGTGTATTTTAGTGTGCCATTTTTGTGACTGCTTCAAGGACACTTCTATGATGTATAAATAAACGAGATTTGTGCGCTTGATTGAATTGTGCTTGCTGTGCGTTTGTAGAATATACTTTCTACGCTTATCAAGACTTCTGTTTTGCCGTTTTTGGATCAAGGTAGCCTACATGGACGCTGGTTTATTGTCTCGTTCGCGTTTATCAACTAAGGTGAACCCGTAATAGCTTCAAGCATACCTAGTGACGAACCTAACATATATTGACCAGAGAACTGGCTGATATCTAATTTAGTCACACATCAATGCATTCAAGTTAATTCTTTCCGCATGTAAGTCTTAATTATATTCATTATATCCTATGCTTTGTTCATTAAAGCATCATTATAAAAATTGTAAAGAATTAATTAGATTTTTACCATGCAGTTGTTTATCTGTAGTTTGATTTTACTTTTCATTCATTAGTATTGTAGCGAAAATTTAATGTTCATCAGTCAAATAATTACTTCAATCACTTCAAATTAATTCGAATGATCAGACACTCAACAGAAAGCCTGTTCATCATAACACTGTATATACATGTATAAATGTATTCATTAATAAAGTTAGTAGCAGTCAGAGGAAGACGACCAAATGAAGTAGATATATTTTAGTTTTATTTAGAATTATTACTGTTTTAGCATTGGACTTGACAATTGCGTATGTTATATTCTATTATTTCATGTATTTATACCCTTTTTAAAAAGGTTTTAATAGAGGCGTATTGTTTATTTACTTATCCTCTCTATTAATTTATTATTTGTACATTTTATAAAAACAAATTCAAGTTTACCCTATTTTATTATTATTGTTGTCGTTGTTGTATTGTGACTGTCATTATAAGAAAGGGTTTTTCTACTCAGATTTCTTGATTCGCTTATTATTTTTAACGATAATGTCAGTCAAAGTTATTTTGTTCATTTAACTGATAATTGATTTTTTGAGTTTTGTAAATTTCCTCCGTCGATAACCATTTGTCTCATTCAAAATGATCTAGCCAAATTTTACATGATAACTTATCAAATTCTAACAGATACATGATCAGTCATCAGCCTTAAATTCATTACATTTGTAAATAGTTTTGAAATTGAACTCGTTCAAAGGAATCACTTCTCTCGATAAATTATTTTATGATATACTAGTTTATCTAAATCAATATTGTTTACTTCACCAAATTCATTTCATCAGTTAAAATAATGTTAGACATTATTTGATTATCTATTTTAATATTATCTCATTATTAATAAATAGAACAAAATGATCTAAGCCATTAGTTTTATTGAAATTAACAATCGACTTGTGTTAGATTACCATTAAAAACCTGAAAGCGTTAGACGACCATTTCGTCCTAGTATGGGACTGGAATCTGAATCAGTGCCCATCAAAGAATATGGATAAGGTTTCTCAAGACCGTGGATTGATCTGAATAGGACATTAACACTGTTGGATGCCGGCCGTGTTACTGATCAAGAGGTAAGGCGTATGCACGCGAGACCGAAAGTTCAGGTTTCGAGCCCCACAGGCAGGGGTGGTGGATGCACAAAGCTGATGAGTTCCGTACTAGGACGAAACGACTGTCCAGTGCTTTCAGGATTTCAATAGCGGTCTAACAATGATCGATTCATGATTTCAATGAAACTCAACAATCTTCACAACCCTATAATGAAAATTACTTTTATATTCAAGAGATCAATAATAAGTTATAAGTACTGCTTTTTTACTGTAAATACTTATTTTAGAGAGTAAATTATACTCCACCGATAGAATTATTGAAATCAATTATTCATTAGTTATGCTTTATTCACATAGTACATCTTGAACAGAATAAATAGTTTAATATCCAGTCATCATTGTCTATTCTCTCATATTTCATATTTTTCAATAATATTTTTATACAACATGAAACTTAAGCAAACAATATCATGACACATTTATCTAACCCAGTTTATAATCATAAAGATGAATAGTTTTTTTACATCGGAATTGAATTGATCACGTCGTAAATTAAAACAAAATAAAGTTGTTAATATTATCATTTTAAAGCAGTGATGTGATACAAGAAGAAGAATCTAATGAAAAGTAACCAGTGTTCTACAAAGGCAAACTGCACTCAACTTGTACACATATAATCTCAGTAAAATAGCCCCTAAATGTAATGCTCTACTTTCAGATCACATTATGAGGAATAGTAGTTAGTGATGTTGGTACTTAAAAAATTTATCAAGCACGCAGTATCTGAAAAATTTACACGATCGGAATTTTCAACTTTTTATTTAGCAATGATGAAAGAAATTTTGTTTAAGTGCAATAAATCAAGTTTAACATTTGTCCGTAACTTTAGATTTTTCATAAATTAGCAAAAAATAGCGCTGAGTTTGAGATACAAAATAATATTTTTAATTTTTAGGATATTATTGAGTTTCTCTGAAGATAATTATTAAAGTTTCTTTATTATTCCGGTCTACTCATAACAGACATGTTACCATTTTCATTCTAGATTCAAACAAATATTTTCTGACATAAATAATGTAACAATTTTATCCGTACGTAAATCAAATTATCATTTAAGCATATTATTCAAATTGATCATCTAAGCAAAATGGCAAGTTCGGATAGGCAACTTAGTGTCATCATGATTAAATCATTGTTTGGTCTCCTACTACTGTTTAGGCAGTAAACATTTTATTATTCACACTTATATACAAAGATTATCTTGTTTCGAAATGTTTTGTCATGAAGGTAAGGAGGAGAAAAGGATTAAAAAATTACTACCAACAGAGTAATATATTTCCACTTTTAATAATCACTCTTTTAACTGTCAAAGCGATATTCACTTTCTACGAATTAAAAGTAGAATCTTTGTCTGGTACATCTGCTTCCTATTCAGCACTTATAATCACCTTCCTGATCATTCATTGTGTTCATACTGCACAGTGGGGCATAATTTCAATCAGAGTTTTATTCAAGTCCTAATAATTTTTACCATATCTGTATTATTTATTCAACCTGTCGCAGAGTGTTACTTTTTACATCCCTACAACTTCAACCTCACTACTCATAGTCTGCTGTTTACGAAAAATTCATCATCGACAATTAAGAACAGTTTGTTAGTTGTTGTTTTTCTTGGTCTGATCCACTTAAACAATGAAAACCTTTGACTTTATCCAACAGCGATCTGCTGAGTCATCACATCTTGCAGGAGATGGGATACGAGTTATTTTTTTATTCCCTATTAAACAGACTGATTTTACAAATTCAAGTTTTCCTATTGCAACCTAATAAAATTCATTTAGAAGAGACTACAAACACTAACGAATTATTGTATAGATGAGTGGAAATTTTGAAACCGACTCTGCATCAGAAATTCAACACAAATAACCATACTCTGTGAATATTCAATTATTTTTTAGCCAGATTTACTGTAAATTTTATTAGAATTTTTATTGACTTAAATTTTCTCATAAATACATTAGTATTGTGCATATATTTTTCTTCACTTGTACATTGATTAAAACAACAAATAAATCATGAATAGTTGATATTTGGTTAAATTAAATAAACTTTTTTTTACGATATTTTTTTTCAAAAAGAAAAAAAAACTTATCCAAGTCTTAATAATTCATGATTTTTTTGATCGAATAATTTACGTAAAAATGCCATATCACTATGAATGGATAAATCTCTCAAATCAGCACGTTTTGACATTTTTGGATGATGACGCTGCTGATAATAATCATAATCATTGTTATCATAATTAAAACGATCATTTGTGTATGGAGTGATTAGTTGATCTTCATTGCTTAATAAATGATATTTACTCATTGCAGATTGTGTAGGTGCTGGAGATTCGCGTAGTTTTGCCGATGATGCCGATGACGGTGTATTTGATAATGTAGGATACATTAAATTCCCGTATGGATTCATTTCAATTGTATAACAATCATGATAAGTTATGCAGAAACTGATCACTAAATAATAACATATTAAATAATAATACATTTTTTCATTGGAACCCATATCAATTAATTTTACTTCATAAATGATATTGTAAAAATTAAATAATTAATAGGAAATTGATGAATAATAAATAATACTTGATCACATTCAACAATCAAGATTTGTAAATAGATGGGGACGAAAAAAAAGAATTTGAAATATTTATGATTCACTTGGTTAATTATGATTGGTCGATAAATTTGAGTTGAATTTTATAACTCCGAATGATTTGATTGGTTCGTAGTGTGATAAGATTTTGTAAATTTTAGTTTGAAGATTAATAAACACCCTTGGCTCGATGGTCAGGCGTTCGCGCACAATACTTAAGGTCCCGGGTTCCGAATCGTGCACGATGCAGCAGCCGTGGATGCGCACATCTGATGAGTCCCATACCAGGACGAAGCGGCCGTCCAGTGCTTCCAGGTTTCTAATGGTGCTCTAACTAACAATGATTTATTGATGATATCAAACGTGTAAAAACACAAACCTCCAAAACTCTGCCCCAAAATAAAATATGAGCCAAAACTAAGTATCGAGTAGATGACAATATCACAATGTAAAAGAGTTAGTCCCTTTTGATAGAACAGTGAGAAGACGTAATTGATATGAAAAATGTGATGTTTTTGCGCTATACATTTTGAACAATCGGGTCACACATATTTACTTGTCAAGGCATTTTAAATGAAGATTAGAAAAACGTCAATTAAATAAAAGTTCAAATAGACATAAGGCGAAGTCAGTGTTTCAGTTAAGAATTTTGCATCGTCTTCAAATGTAACCGTGGTGCAAATCCTTTGAGCCCTATTGAAAAGGCATTTCACAAAACCTCGCTTATGTTGCAGTGGACGAAAACTGTTGAAATTTAAATACTGTCCAGTTCAGGTCGGTTTTCTATAAATTGAACGCTTTATAGTTCCATTCTTCCTTCGACTCAACAGTATGTCTATAAAAGGCGACTAATTATTAATTTCTGTTTCATGGGTTAGGAAAATATCGTTCTGAAGACTATTGAAATTATTCGGTAACTGAGAGACATTGAGTTATTTATCGCATATAACTAAAATATCATCCATCTATATCCTATACAGAGTAAATTTATTGATGGGCTCATTCCACAGATTTTCAGCATATGCCATATAGACGTCAGCTAAGATAGATACTCAAGGACTACCCATTTCAATGCCATCAGCTTGCTGGAAATATTCATCATCAAACATGAAATGAACTTTGTCAGTACATAATAAAATTAATTTTCTTAGTAGAGTTGCCCGAATGGGAAAAAGAGGGAAATTACTTAGTATATATAGTCACAAAGAAAATTAACAGTTTTACATTAGGGTATGCATTGTTAAAAAGGAAGTTTACAGTAAACGAATGCATAGTCTTTTCTTTGATATCAGTGTCATCAACAACATCAGTTAGTTCAAATGTATCTTTCAGGGAAATTTTACACACTTTATTACGAATTTGGCTAAGTAATTTACCTAACCATTTGGCTAGCTTATGTGTAGGTGAGCGGCGCATAGATAATATAGGTCTTAGTGAATTGTCAGGTTTATGAATTTTGGGTAATCCGTATGAATTCAGTAGTTCAGAAACGGTGGGTTTTAACATGTTAAATTCTTCCTTGTTGATAAAATTCATGTTGAGTAGCTTCATTAGATTGGAGTTAACTCTCGATTCTAATTTTCTAACCTCATTATCAGATGAAACATTAGTCAAAAACTTCCATTCATCGCTAAGAATGGATAACATTTTCTTTTTGTAACCACATTCATTCATTAAAACTACTCCAGAACCTTTGTCAGGTTTGAGAATTACAATAAGTGATTTTTTACGGAGGTTCCTTAAGGCACTAAAATGTTTGGATGTTAAAATATTCTTGTGTCTTATTTTTGGCACCGTGAAATTGGTGAGCGATATCAGCTAATTTCGCCTTCAACCAGATTTGATTATCTTGGGTGGTTTTAACAAGAGGGTTCAATTGAGTAGAGAGATTTTGAAACTGAGCGTCGATCGGGAAGTTAGAAATTTCGAGCTGAGGTATGGGAAAGTTAAGTTAAGCTTCTTTTTCAAATACAGAATGTTCCACGGATGATAAATTTGTTACTTACTTATCCGGGCTAAACTGGAAGGAATTTCCGCGATTATCAATAATGAGGGACTTGTCCAACTTTTGCCTCGTAGTATAATTCGTTTTAGAGACCACCGAACTGCAAAAGTTCATAAATTTAATATGACATACGATAGAAACATTTGATAATACAAATGATGCACGCGTATGAAGTTCACTTAGCTAACATATCATTTCATTACATTTTTCCAAGTGAGATTTCGTTAGACGAAGGAGATTAGAAATATTCTGAATTAATTTATTAGATCGTAAGAATTCACAAAATTGTCTGGGAAATATATGTGTACAAAGGTACAATTTGTAAGAGTCCAGGTTTACCTTTTCAGAAGCGATTTCGCATTTAATAGTAGCAAGTTCATCTAACCGTTTAATGCAAGACGGGGGGAGTCTTCTTTTCAGAAATTTAAAACAATTAGTCACTTTTATAAATTTTCATAGAACAGTAAGAAGACGTAATTGATCGGAAAACTGTGATGTATTTGCGCTATACATTTCCAGTAATCTCGTCAAACGAACATGAATTTTCTCTCTACTTTATTTACAATTATCACCTTATGTCTATTTGAACTTTATTTAATTGAACTTTTATTCAGCTTCATATAAAATGCCTTGACAAGTAAATTTGTGTGACCAGATTAATCGAAATGTATAGCTCAAATACATGACATTTTTTAGATCAATTACGTCTTCTAACTGTTCTATCAAAAAATGTCACACTGATTGATAAACTATTCATTTAAAGGTGGATTACTCTGTATTTAGGGATGAAATCATTTTTGTTCACTCTGTATTAAAAAATGGCTGAAGTTTTGTATAAGAGTAGTAGTAGTAGTAGTAGTAGTAGTAGTAGTAGTAGTAGTAGTAGTAGTAGCAGTAGTAGTAGTACTAGTAGCAGTGTGAGTAGTAGTGGTAGTCTTGTACATGAAAACTCAGGTGAGGACATTAATATATATATCATTAAGCGGATATTACAGAGTTGTTAGACATATATACAAAACCTTCCCGTGAATCATAATTTGCAAACTAATCCTTATTTGTTTCAGATTTCAGTGTTCTTTCATTTAGACTGTTCAGACTTCAGTTCACTTTACGTTACCTACAAATCGCCTTCTGTTTCTTTCTTTCCTTCTCGATCTTTTGCTGTCAGACTTTTGATTTCCATTTGATATCATATACTACTTATGTGAACATAAGTAGAGTACACCACAGTAGTAGTAGTAGTAGTAGTAGTAGTAGTAATGGTATGGGGATTACACAATCCCCCACATAAACCGACAGGAAGTTTTCAATCAAATGATGACTGTTCATGCAATAAAAACTTTGGATGTCAAAAAATTTCTATAAATAAATATTAAAATATAAAATTGAAAGGAAGGAAAGAGAAGTTTATTGTAACGAAATTGACAAAATTTTCAAAAACGTATATGACGTCATCGTGAATAAAATTTATTGAAAATATAAATGATCATGAAATATTAATCTCGTTGATCATTGAACACCGATAAAGCTGAAACTGATTTATCAGGTTGACTTACTAACTGGAATATCATTTGACACTATGAAATGTAAAGCGGAATAAAGACATTTATCATGCGTGAACTGTTTTTTATAATTTTGATCAATTAGATTACTGATATAATTCAAACCAAGTTATTTCGAAGAAAAATATATACCTAATAAAGTTGATTTTTTAATTGATAAATTTTTAGCTGGAATAATAATCTTTCAAAGGGAAATGATAATTCTGCTAAATGGATGCAAGATCTAATTTCCTATCCGCTTCTATATAAACTCCAGACTAAATCTACACTGCAACTTGGACACAAGAGAAAAAGCAGCAAGTACAAGAAAACTTTCCCCTAAACTGTTAAAGTTTACAGAAAACCCATGTATATTTATAATATTTCGTGTGGAGTTAAGACATTAATACTATCATTCATTCCACAAATAGTGATGTTATACCGTCATCCATTCATTTCATGCTTCTTAGGAGTCTCTCGAGGCTTCTGAAAGCCATCCCAACAGGACAACTTTAGATTTCTTATTTTTTCTGAATTCTAGAAACATTAACTAACTTTCGGAAGTGGGCCTTCAGGTTAAGTATACAAGCTGAATGGCGGAATTAATAACGTTAACTAACAAGTAGTCAATTGATTTTTGGATATAAAACCTCCAGTATTTTACTCATCTTGACAGAAGATACTGATAAACTACATCTTATTTAAAGTAATCACGCAATTCCACTTGTAAGCCACGTTGCAAGTAGTATCCATCACACCGGCTTATAGGAATGAGTTTTTATATTTTCATACACGTTTCGCTTATGAAACTGACTTAAGTCATTAAAGATGTGATAGAACAGTATAAATCCATTTATTTCATGGTTTGTTACTTACTATTGTTGAGAGCGTTTATCAAAGTATGGCTTCATACAGATCAATCTAAAGAAACACTCGGTATTCAACGCGTTCATCACCTGAACTTGTTCATGATGCATTTTGTTACTAACGAAATTCAAGTGAAAAAACTGCATGTAGAAGATTTGTCATCGAAGACATGAATTAAGATATTTCAATTGCCAGGAAATTAATCACAGTTTCCTTAAGTACACTGAAGTGCAATAAACGGTTCTGACAAATTTCATCAATGTAGTCATTTGAGAATTAGCTGGTTATCTGTGAAACCTCCGTCTGGAGCCCCTTTGGAGCTACTGCTGGTCTCTAGCTTAGGTAAAGGAGGACGGTTGGGCATAGGGTTAGCGAACCCAGCCCGTAGAAAACTAAATCGCTATAAAACGCTAAAAATAATTCACGACCTACTCAATAAAGAGGAAACTACCATGGATAACTCCTGGAATGGGATAAAAGATGCAATAACTTCAGTATGTCATGAGGTTCTGGACCACAAGTAGCACCATCAAAAGGAATAGATCTCTGTTGATATTCTTGATAAGATTCAAGAAAGGAAGAACAGGAAGGCAGCAATCAGTCTCAGACGAACAAGAGCAGAGAAAGTTGTGCACAAGCTGAATACACAAAAGCAAGCAAGCAAGTGAAGAGGAGCATCAGAGCCGACAAACCTAAATATGTGGAAGTTCTACCAAGATGGCAGGAAAGGTTGCAAGAGAAGGAAACATGAGGCAATTGCACAATACAACAATGAAGCTCGTTGGAAACTATCATAATCCAGAACGACCAGTGGAAAGCAAAGAAGGCAAAGTAATTAGAAACATTTCTGAACAGAGAAACAGGTGGATAGAGCTCTTCGAGGAACTCTTGAATCAACCAACCCCAATGAATCCACCCATTATCGAAGCAATACCCATGGATCTCCCAATTAATGTTGGGCCTCCATTGAACAAATCGACAGCGGCAAAGCAAAGGGTCTAGACAACATTCCAGCAGAGGCAATCAAAGCAGACGTGGAAGCAACTGCGAAAATAATCCACTATATCTTTAGCAAGATCTGGGTTGAAGAACGAGTACCGACAGGCTGAAAAGAAGGATATCTGATCAAAATTCCGAGGAAAAGAAATCTCAGCAAGTCTGAAAACTTAAGAGGTACCACTCTTCTCTCAATACGAGGCAGTCTTCAAGAGACTATTGTTAAGCAAAATGAAGGATTCCGTAGAAGTCTAACTTCAAGATCAACAGGCTGGATTTCGTAAGGACCGATCATGTACCGACCAAATCATTGCCCAACAATCAATTGAATGGATCTCACCACTCCACATCAACTTCATTGATTACGAGAAAGCGTTCGGTAGCATGGACAGGAAAACACTATGGAGGATTCTCCGACACTATAGCGTGCCTGGGAAGATAGTCAGCATTATAAGAAATTCTTATGATGGATTCAACTGCAAAATCGTTCAGGAAGACAGCTAACAGACTCGTTCGAGGTGAAGACCGGTGTCAGGTAAGGTTGCTTACTCTCACACTTTCTCTTTTTCCTGATGGTTGACTGGAGTATGAAGACGTCGACATCTGGGTGGAAGCACGGTATGCAGTAGACAACCAGGATGTAGCTAGATGATCTGGACTTCGCGGATGATCTGGCTCTTCTGTCGCACAAACAACAACAAATTCGACAAAAGACCAGCAGTGTAAAAGCAGCCTCAACAAGAGCAGATACCAACGTTCATGAAGGGAAAGCAAGATTCTCTAATATAACACAACATGACCAACCAAATTAAACTTGATGGAGATGCCTTAGAGGACGTGAAAACCTTTACATATCTAGGCAGCATCATTGATACGCAAATTGGATCTGATGCAGATGTGAGGGTGCAGATAGGCAAAGCAAGAGCAGCATTTCTATAACTGGACATCTGGATCTCAAAACAACTGTCAGCCAACACGAAATTCAGACTTTTCAATACAAATGTCAAGACAGATATACTGTGTGGGATGAAAATTTGGAGAACTACGAAAGCCGTCATTCAGAAGATACAATTATTTATCAACAGTTGTCTACGCAGAATACTTCTGATCCTCAGGTCAGACACCATGAACAACAACCTATTGTGGGAGAGAACAAGCCAGATTCCAGTGGAGTAAGAAATTAGGAAGAAGCGCTGGAATTTGAAGTGACACACACTGAGTTAAGAGCCCAACTGCGTCACAAGACAAGCCCTCATGGCCATAGGAAAATAGGAAGACCAGAGAACCTGTTGCGTCGAGAAATGGAGATAGACATCAGAAGAATGAACAACAAGTGTACAGAAATGGAAAGGGAAGCCCAGGACATAATAGGTTGGAGAATGCTGGTCAGCAGCCTAAGCTTCATTGGTAGTAACAGGCATCAGTAACGTAAGTGACAGTCATCTGTAAAATAACCTCAATCGTTAGAATAAAGTTCTTAGTTAATTAGTAAACCTAATAGATGGTAAATTTTGAACACCAGTCAGCATGCTAATTTTAAAAACTAATGACATTCAAAGATTTCATTAATACAACTGGGAAGCAGTTATAAAACTGTAAGTTTGCTCGTTTTTGATATTCTCAGACTGAAATCAACCTAACTGATCTTACTTCCCATGTTCTACCATCGCAAAAGTTCTTGAAGGGTGGCGATGATTAAAAGTTATTTGAAGTGAAACAGAACTACAAGTATTGTTGTATTAACTTTAGATGTCTTACAGGATGGTGGTTGAATTGACTAAATTGTTGGTGCAGTATAAGTATTCGGACAGATATCGTTTCCTCAGCTGTTTCCTTTTGTAAAAATTACCTACTACATATATATATGAACCATATGGAATGTGCGGGGAGTAAACGACTATTGACAATCAGTTCATTTATTTTAAATTTAAACCAAGACTAATAAACAAATCTTTAAACATAGAAATAAATTTTTCAGAATGTCTACTTTTTATAATATTATGAAAGCAAGTTAGTAATTCAATGTAAGTGTATTACTTCAATGAATATACAAGCAAAATATGAAAATAACAAGCGGTTAATTTAAATGTGGATATATCTGTCACTTATGACGAAAATAAACTAAATTTGTATTCTAAATAAAGCTACAAAATTTCTGGCTTTGGTTTGAGTTTATTCTTTTTAAGACAATTATTTCTCAAGATATAATAGGTCTAGATTTCTTTCTCTTCAGATTTGCAACGAATTGTGAAGATTTCAGTTAATATTATCAATGTAGTTTGATAATATTTACTTAGAATATAATGCTCGTATAAACAAATCTATCACAGTTGAATGGTTAAAAAGAAATATCAATATTCCTAAAGCTAGTCTTTTCCAGTTAGTTGTCATAAACAATATAATTGCTAGAAGGAATATGGAACAGTACAAAATATCACATTGCAAATGAAAATACCTGAAGAGGAAAGTGATAAGATGAGACAGAAAAGAGTTGAGACGACACTGTCAATGCTAGACAGGAAGAAATTACAGATGCACCCAGAAGCAACAAATGAAATCGTATTAAAATGTAAATTACAAGAGATAATGTTGAAATTCTGGGTATAACAGTAGATAAAAGCATTAGCATTCAATTACGGATTAGCCCTGTTACATATTTTGCACCTCTCGATACCATTTATAGAATCAGATATTCACTTCATGGACTTGCTTTCGTCCACCTCTGCACTAACATACTTCGAAGCTTGTACTAAACAATGAATAAGCAAATGTAACAAATATATAAGCCTCCTCTCCTGATAGCCCATCTATGTCGATTAAACTTTACTTAACCTCACTATTACTTACCTTATGGTTTTATATTTGGAGTAGTTCGAGGGAATCTATAATTTGATAATAAATACACTTGTGAAGTACATATTTTCTAATTTATTCCTAAGTGACAATTACCAGTTGACATCAGTTTGGCAATAACTGAAAATCTCCGACAATTTAGATCCAATTAGAATTTTATATTCAAATAACATAAGCTGAGAATACAATGATTTATCATACTGAAATAAAAAGTAACGTTATTACTCGAGACCAAAACTCCTGTTTGATTTCCGGATACTAGGTCGTGGATACGTACCCCTAAGGAGTCCCGTACTAGGGCGATAAGGCTTTCGAGTGCTTCTAGGTTTACCGTGATGGTCTAGCCAAGAACAGATTGCGGTTTGAACTGAAAATTCCACAATCTCCACATAATCCTTGATAATAATTATTTGAAGTACCATAATCGTATATTTAATGATTGATTGTTAAAATATGTTATCCTTTTCTGCCTAATGATATTATTTAATGAATAAGTGAACAGAACTATAATTACAAATATAAAGCTTGATTCTTATTCAGTTATAATCAGTCGGTGAGCCACTTTTATTTCCAGCTTAGTCTACCCCATAAATCTGATCACGAAAACTATATTAAACGTATACAACATCTGATAAAATAAATAAGAAAACAAAGTCTCGACTAAGTGATTTTTCGATCTTAAATGTGAATTCTTAAAGAAATATACTTTCAAGTAAACAACAATCTGTATATTTGTTGCATACAAATAAATGTGCGATCACGAATGATACTTTTGCCCCATTGATTAGTTAAGCTTCAGTCAAATCGGCATTATAATAAAGATATATTTGTGGCATAAATGAATCTTCAATATCTTGGATTTCTTCCTTGATATTATTCTCTTCAAGAGTTTTCTCCATATCTAGTACAGTATCATCATACTTCCATGTGTACGAGGCAGCATGTGAATTAAATTTTAGATAGCGAACAAGTATGTCAGTTATAGTCTCTTCAGAGCAAACCTAAATGACAAAGAAGAAGAAATACATTTTAAATAATAAACCGGATAACCGAAAAATACATTAATCCATTTGCATTTTCAAGGTATAGACAAACATAACAGTCTTCCAAATAGTGGAAGTAAGATATTCTTTAAATTAAATATCCTAGGAACTAATATTACATTGTTCAACTAGAAGAAATAATTATGATTAACGTTTTACGAGCAACATGAAAAAATCAACGAGTTAATATATTTTTAACTGTAAACAAATGTTATTTTATCATTAGTAAAATATTATTCTTTTGATTAGGTTGATTATGTATTAAACAGTGACTGAGAGTTAAATTCAGGATCTCTGTTTGGCCCTATTTGAGATAAATCACGTAAATGGACCTGAATGTCTGTTAATGTTCACATTGAAACTATAATATAGCACTCATAGCATCAAAAGCCGGCACACTATCTACTATAATTTTGAGTAGCCTTAAGATTTGTAAGTAGATAATTATGTGTTGACGCGTTGATGATATGTTGAAATAGTGAGTCAGTTAGTCAGTCAACAAAGGTAACTTCGATTTTTAACTGCTGATAGTTTGGTTAGTAGTTGGTAGCGGAACCAAGTCACTCGACTGAAGAGCTAGTCTCACGTATCAACGATGAAAACATACTAACCTTCATTATTGACCGTAAATATCAAAATAAATGAACGGATCGGCGTTTACCGTCATTCAACGGCCTAGTGATAGTTTTGTGGCATTCAATGTGATAAATACTAGGTTTGAAACTACTCAATTTTAACTTCTGTTGAAATCAATTTGATGTGAGAAATATTTCTGAAAATATGAATAACCTAGGCTTACTTCCATCTAGAAACCGTGACATATCAAACGATGATTGACCACAAGATATGTAATGAAGGAAATTATTTATCGGTTCTATAGCTTTTTGCCATGACAAATTATTATCCTGACACCTAACAAGTAATAAAAGTGTGATGAACTAGCTATCCTTTTGAATTAATGTGTGAGATAAGTTGCACAATTCTGCAGCGGAGGTAGTGTTTAATCAATCAACCAGCAAAGATATCAATATAATTTTAGTTTTAAGAAAGGAAAACAAACCTCAACCTCATGTTTTTCTAGCGAAAGTGTGTTGAAAATACGTACAAATCTCGTCTTCTTAGTTAAGTTTCCAACTATTAGTCGTTCGTCCTTCCACCAAGGTATGCCAAAATCTGTAGCCCAGTCTGTCACTGGATAGGGTGGAGGAATGTGAACAAATCGGCCAAAGGGTGTGTAAGGAACATGACAGTTAGTAATTGGGTCAACATGGTACCGAACGTCTCCAGTTTGTGCATCAAACCAGTGGGATATATCTCTACCAGCTTCATTTAAGATTGGTCGGAGAAGTACGCTTCCTACAACCAATATAAAATATCTAATTTCAAATCAGTCAAGACTATTCAACACAAATATTGTAAATAACATATAACATTATTCTAATTTCACCAAACATTTTTAATCGTACAATTTCATAAAATCTACTAGAACAGTTTAAAAATCTAGGTAGCTAGTTAGAAATACACCACAATCGTAAAAAACATAAAAATCTAGTCTGTTGGTTGTCTTCAAGTTCTATCTTTCACTATTTACCCATGCATTTAGAACTTGACTGTGTTTTGATCTGTTTTAACTGGTGGGTGCTTCGTCAAGCGACAAATTTATCTGTTTATCGGGAAGCTGATACGATAACAAATGTTTCATGTTCAAGTCTTAGATAAATTCGAGTTATCTCTAGGAAATGTTCAAGCTTTGAACTGAGTACGGCAGTGTACACGATTACATCAGTTGTTCTGAGTATCTATTTCCATTAGGAAGGTTGATATAAGTCTTAAATCACGAAAATTAATTCGATTTAATAGTTCTCAACGAAGATGAATATGATTCGAATCATATTCATTTAGGCAATATTTAAATAAAATCGATCAACTCAAACGTATTCACCCTTATTCTGTGCGCAAATCGGTGTGAGATCGTAAACACGCCCAAGAAACGAAACCCAACAGTCCTCAGGTGAATTATGCGCTAAAACCTCATTTGGAGTAAAGTAACGACTTTTCATTTCCCACTTACAATATTTCCATAGTTATATGTATATTAGCCGATTTAAAGTAATGTTGCCTAAGATGTGCTGTACAGTTACAAAAGTGTACAATAAGCTAACATTCTCCAGTATATTCACTGCTTTCAACGATTTAGTATTAACCAATTGATTCTTGATCTTTCGGTATGGCTCCAGGTATTTGGTAGTATCCAATGGATGGTAAACTATACACTCAACTGCATTAATTCAGGTATGTGATCACTGTTTTTGAATTTGCATGTCCTCTCATTTGAGTGAGTACATTTGTTCCAGAGTAGTAGGGTTTATGGATACCAGTAGCCTTCACATTACCAGGCTGGAGACCAGTTAGTCTCTATGTGGCTCATACAAAAGCGAAAACTCTAATGCTATTGAAAATATTTCAGAAATAAGTAAGTAAATTTGTTGATTTATTGGTGGTGAAGATTGTGTGAAAGGACCCAAGTGTAAGCAAGGAGGTGGAAACAGAGACTGTAGACTGGCTAGAATAAGTTAGTGATCTGAGATGATAACGATAACAACTGGCGAATGTTGAGACACGTAATAGGCACTGCCGGTACAAGCGGGAGGTGATAAATCGTATGTGAGTACGTATTCCTCAAGTACCTTCTTGAAACTATCCACTAGGGAGGAGAGCGATTCAAGTTATGAGAAAAAGTTGGCAAGTACCTCAGTGTATGCTCCTTGGTGTGCAATTTCTCGAGGGTTACCTCGAGGGGCGCAGTTATGACATTTAGCCAATATGCTTGTGTTGGAATGGTTTGGAGTACTTAAAGTGTCGTATACTGTAATTAGATCACCTTCCTATAACTCGGAGGGAATAATCCTAAGTATTCGAATTTGTCTTCGTTATTCTTATCCCGCAACCGTTTTAACCATTTAGCTGCTCACCTCTGGAATCGATCTAGGAGATTTATGTCACTTTTAAGACAATGAGAGTTAAAACACTGTCACTTTCAATGTATAGCGGTGTGCACGTTTTAAAGAGAGTAAAGAACAGTTGTGGGTTGATCACACCTAGTCGTCTTCGCATAAAGTGGAGTTGCGATAGCATTGACTACATCTCCTAAGTAGTTTGAAGTGGTGTTCAGGCTCGCCGTGCTTATTAGACGGAGATGAGGCTCTGAAAAGACATTTAGGAAAGGACTTCCATTGAGGTGTAAGTTGTTTTTGTCGCGTGTAACATCTTAACTAGCTAAAACTTGATTCCTTGTCCACTGTCCATTTCTCTATTGTTGTAAGGTCTTTTTGAATCTCAAGTGAATCTTGTTCGCTTCTTATTGACCTTTATATATTTGCATCATCTGCGTAGGTTAGTGTCGCTGATCTAACTTTATTCGGCGAGTCAGTAATTAATATCACGAAGAGGAATGGCCCTAAGATGGTGCCTTGTTCAATTACTGATTTTGAGACTTGCAAGCTTTCATGCTCTCTATCTGTTCCGGTACATAACTTCCTGTTATCAAAGCTTTTTCTGAGCCTAGATTCTGAGCAGCGTTTCAAGACTATGGTGCGAATATTGTCACATCCTGGAGACTTTGTTTGACGAAGGGATTTGAATTTTCTTAGTACTAAGTCAGGAGTAAGTCAGGTATTTCCTAAGCCATTAGCTGCTTTCAGATCCGAGTGTAGTGCGAGCTACTTATAAGTAGTATATGACGTGAGTGTCAACGTAATGTCTGGCAGCAAAAGATGGGGGAAGATCAAGAAAGGAAGAGTTAGAACACAATGGAATTTGCATGAAACGCACGAATAGTGCACCTAACTCAAGGTCGCATGTCTGCGTAATGGAACGGGCCGGTGATCCGCCCACTGCTCGCAACTTGGAAAGGATGAGGAAGACAGCAGGATCTCACCTCAACCCGGACAAATCGAACCTTTAACTTCACCTCGCCTTTGGGTTTCGTAACACCCAGTGACTCGCGCACATGCTTAACTCCTTGGTACGTATTTCAAAACCGGTCAGGTGGATCATATACCACTACACCTCAGACTGTGGGCCCAAGCAATTCACACACGCAACTGCCAACGCAGCCGAATCAAGCCATCAGCCGACCAGCCGAAGCCAGTAACAAACCGACCAGAATCAACAGTGCCCGCAGGTCTAAGCACGCAAGCAAAGCTTCCATTTCCGACTCACCACACGGTTCCACTTCAACCAGTTAGTAACACCCCAGCATACGAGTGAGCGAAAGACTCACCTGCCGATCCAGGGAAGCTCGGCAAAGCTAGACTCAACCAGATTGCTCATAGAAGACAGGCATCAGCGCTGGTCATGGTGAGCAATCTGAGAAAGTGCACTGACAAGCAGACTCTCAAACCGAAAGTGCGTGCTTCATTCACAAGCAACCCGACTCTAAGGGGAGCTCTGAGTAGAACTGTCACACTTGGTGTCTACCTCCACGTGCCCTTCACACTCTAGGGACCAGAATGGGAGGCCGTAATTATTGCTAGACTTGGGGAAGGGCAGTAATTTCAGAAGCCAACCTAAACGCCACACTGCCTCACGATCGTATAACAGTAGGCTTCAGTGTTGGGCTAATCCCTGTTTATTCGCAGTTACTGGGGGAATCCTTGTTGGTTTCTTTTCCTCTGTTCAGCGATATGCTTAGGTTTGGCGGGTAATCATGTCTGATCCGATGCAAAGGTCAATTATATAATCTGTGCGCCGGATAGATACATACAATCGATACAAAACATAGACCAAATCATAGTGCCAGGATCAGGTGATTAGTATAGCATACGATAGGTGCGTTTCTACCGAGCGTGTAAAATACCATTAAGCCACAACTAGAGCACAACCCATGGCAGCATCTCAATTTCGTTATTCAGACTGGACTAGGCTGTGATCGGATTATTTGGACGGAGCCTTCGACCAGCAACGTCGCGCATTGGTACGCAAGTATACATGCCGGCATGCACTCGCCCAACCCACCACGAATATTTCGTTTACAACCACGTCCATCATGACTGCTCTGTGGTCACTGCTTCATATTGGTGGGTATGCAATGATATCCTCAACCAGGATTTGATCGTTTGTTAACTAATCATCTAAGTTTGAGGGTTTTCCATCCCTGCTCTACATGGTGACATGACACACATGCTGAATCGATCCTGAACCGTTAGTGGCTTCTCCAAGTTTCCTTTGGAACCAACCTATGGGCGTTTTAGCCTGTCAGTTTATATTTAGAGATGGGGTGTTTAAATCTCTAGCTAGGAGTATTTTATTAACCCCAGTCAGCTTATGTTTGTGGGCTCTAATATTTGAGAGGAGCTGGTGAAACATCCTAATCAAATATTTTATGCCTTTGTGTGCTCAAGCCACACGGGCATGATTCTGTCTCGTCGGTTAGTTGGATGTCGTATTGTGTTACGACTTTGAAATGGCAGTTGAGATATCGTCCCTCCACCTCCCGCTTTTTCTGTACCCCACCGCCTCGGAAGGGTTTCGTGTCTTGCTTGCTCACTTCGTCGACTATACCGTCGGGGGACAGCCATTCTTAACTGAGAATCGTGATCTTCAGACCGATTCAGGGGCAAATTTTCCTAGTCCCTTCCAGTTAATCACTCGGTCCGCTTACTCTGCTACAGAAGCACTTGATGGTTTGTCTGATCACCTGATGCCTCTCTGCAGCAACGGTCGCTGTTGAATTACTAAACAACTGCATCAAACTAAGTTGGTCAATTCCCAAACAACTGCCAACCTCAGGTGTTTTGCTCATACCGTGTATTCAAACGGAGAGACTGTGATCTCCTCATCTTGTGTTAGGCGTTATAGATGGAAGTCATCCGACAACAGTATTTTTCCTATTCGGCCTCCCTGTTTTCATCTCGCTGATCTAGACAAGCTCTCGTAGCATCTATCTGATAAGACGGACCACTGTTTGTGCCGCACCAAGGCTGAAGCCCTTCAGTTAGGTTTTCCCGGTTTCTGAAGTTCACAGCCATACGACGCAGAAGCTTAATGATGGCGAGATGTGACAGACGAAGCAACCGGAAAACGCTAAATGCTATGATGGTGTGACGAGGCTAAAGTTATCCGTAATGGAGAGGGTTTAACTTTAGCTATATTCTGACCCGTAAACAGTTTAACTGAGCCGGGGTATATCTAATTCCAAGCATTGTGCAGTATCTACCCTTCCGGTTTTTAATAAAAAATTCCCACTGTCCAGCAGGCTACCCTAAGATACAGGAGCATTGAATAAAATTGGCGAACTTTGTCTAATATTTCTGTCAATGATTTGTGGCGTATTTGGAGCTATGATGCTTCTGTCTCCCTTCTTTACACTCTCTCGCTGCTCCGTACTGTCAACAGATACTGGGGTATTTACACTAACTGGCAGCATCGTCGGTGCCTTAGCTCGGGTTTAGGTTGACATTTTGTTGGGCTAAATAGTTTTACTGGTGTGAAACAATAGGTTTATTTTAGATGGGAACGTTCATTTCGCTGTAGACTTTACATTGTGAACAAACATGGCAGAACCAAGGAGACCTTGCACGAACCAATCTTACTGTCTACACACTGCAGTATCACATCCACTGGGAACCCAGCCGCTTCAGAAGCTACATTTTAATGCAGAGTTGTCGGTTTCAGACAACGAGGAGGGAATACAATTACTACCGTTGTGTTCAGTGTGCTGCGTTATTTGAGACTTAGGAAGCATTTTTCTCATATTTCTTTTTGCCTACTAAACTCACTAGGAGTAGCAGTCTGTGGAGAGTGTCGTTTTGGTTTCACCTTTGGAGATAAAGTAGTGTTTGGGTCGAGTCGTCCGAGTTATACACATTACTTTAAAGTTAACTATCGAGTAATCTTTCGGGCTTTTTCACAATTCTGTTGCTACAAACTGGGATTTATGATTCGCCACCAACTGCGAATTCAGACCTCTACTAGTTTTCCTAGTAGTATTGGTATTGGAACTGTTAGCAACGTTATTACTTTGCATGTTAACCAATAGACTAAAGAGCGGACTGCTAGATAATTCGAAGAGAAAAATATGCAGTGTATACGGTAAAAGGGAGTTAAATAGTAATATGTCCCTCAAGAAACAAACTTCCACGGTGTGGGCAGCCGGGAAGTGATAACCGCCCTCATACCCGTAACAGCACACAAGACCGAATTGGTCAAAATCAAATCCTTCCTACACCCACTGATATCTCTCTTATCTCCACGACTAACTCTACTCACACTCCTTTATCTCGCCGCACCTCTGCTGCAAACGATTTCAGTCTTCGAAACGTTATTCCTAGTCTCTTGAAGCCCCATTCTAAACTGCATCTTGGAGCATTTAATGTACGGACATTGTGTCAAGTAGGGCAACAGGCTTTATTAGCTAGGACTTTAGAATCTAGTGCCATCGATGTGTACCGCGTCTCGGAAACGCGCATACAGAATCCGAGTAGCACCATTCACTTGACCTCACCATGTCAACTCGATTTACCCTTCGTGAATCCGTTAGCCCTGATGCTGCTTCTCGAGGTCTCGCTGGTGTAGGTATAGTCTACGTAACGACCGCGAACAGAGATGGGTGGCGAAAGCAAAAGCGATGGAAAAGGTAGTGGCGACAGGTAACACTAGACTACTTTTCCGCCTTATCAAAGAAACCGGTATTCGGAACCCGAATGTGAGTGAGACTATCTCAGAAATGGATGGCTGTATCATTTATTCCCAATCCAGGGGACTGGACCGATGGGCAGAACACTTTGGGGACCTGTTCAATTGGTCTTCAGCCACATTTCGGTTCCCCACCATCCCCAGTGATCCTGAATGGCAAATCGATTTAAGTCCTCCTAGTCTGCATGAAGTTGAGAGAGCTATACGAAATCTAAAGGGAGGTAGGGCAGCAGGTCCTTATAGACTGACTCCTGAGATATTTAGGGATGGTGGTCCAGTTGTAGCAGCTAGGTTAACTGAGATCTTAGGTAGAATCTGGGAACTGGACACTATCCCATCCGAGTGGTCTCAATCCTTGATTGTCCCAATCTACAAGAAAGGACAAAAGTCCTCTTGTGACAATCATAGGGGAACAAGTCTAACTAATATAGTTTCTAAATTGTTAGCCTCGATAATCCTTAAGGGCCTAACTGTAGCCCGTGAAGAGCAGACTAGATAAAACCAGGCTGGTTTTCCACCTGGACGTGGCTGCATAGACCACATTTTCACACTAAGACAGGTCCTGGAACACAGACACACATTTAGACGTCCGACGATAGTCGTGTTCCTGGACCTTAAGGCGGCATTCGACTCAGTGGATCGTGAGGTTCTGTGGCAGTGTCTGTCATTGAAAGGTGTACCAAAGAAGTACATTAACCTTATACAAGCTCTCTACTCGAAACGCCACTGGTCGAGTGAGAGCATTATGTGAACTGTCACCGGAATTCTCTACATCAAGTGGTGTCCGTCAGGGCTGTCCACTCTCTCCATTCTCGTTTAACTTTGTCGTAGTCATCCTCTTAGAGTTAAGATTAGGCTCGTCAGATTTTTCAGGGGTTGATCTTCTGCCAGGAAAATCGATTACTGACTTAGAATATGAGGATGACATAGTTCTATTCGGTGAAGACGCTGACAATATGCAGAGTCTTCTGACTACTATAAGCATGTCCGTGAGGCTGTTTTCCCCTCCAAATGCAAAACGTTGCTTCAAGACTGGGTTGCATAGGCACCTGAACTAGTGATAGGGAGTGAAGTAGTCGAGCGTGTAGACCACTTCACTTATCTTGGTAGTCTCATCAATGCTGCAAGCCTGGTGACTGACGATATCTCAGCGCAGATACGGAAAGCTCGATTCGCTTTGCCAATTTGCGCCGTTAATGGTGTAGACGAGATATCCATTCGCTAACGAAAGAACGGGTGTACTACGCAGCAGTTCGCTCCGTTCTCTTATATGGATACTAAACATGGACGTTAAGAGTAGATGTTCGTAGGTTACTAGTATTCGATCATAGATATCTTAGAGGCATTGCTAATATATCGTGGGACAACCGAGTAAGCAATACTGTAGTTGGGAAACAAGTACTAGGTAAGGATTGCAAATCAATAGATGAAGTACTGAAACTTCATCAGTTGAGGTGGTTGGGACGTGTTACGAATACCTAACCACTGACTGCCTCGACGAGCTATGTTTTGTGGTGTAGGAGTAGGTTGGAAGAAAGTTAGGGGCGGCCAAATCAAAACATGGCAGAAATGCATGAAGTCACTGACAAGTGGACTGAGTCTTGTTGGTAGATGTAGACTACGTGGTTGGGGTCCGCGAGACGATAGTCACAGATGGTTAGAGACCTTGAACGACTTGGCTCAAAATCGTTTGCAATGGCGCAAGTGCACCCACTCTTTGAGCTCTCTCAAATCCAAACACTCTGGATTCGTCAGCACAGCTACCTTTGTCTTTTTAACATTATCTCACTGAATTATGCTTCTTGAGTAACGTCTTCAAACCCTAGTATTCTTCATTACCATTAATTCTTCTACTATCTCTATCACTATGGGATTTGATTTGACATTTGCATCTCTGTGCTAATGTGGTATGGCAACCTGAACTTATGTACATACGTACGAAGTTCTACGTTGTAACTGACTGACTTATTCATCAGAGTATTGGCTCCTCAAAGGCGACCCGATGACTTATAGCATCCTAAATACTCATGAGCATCCTTTAAATTACTTAGTTAAGCTCAGCTGCATCACGAACCTCAAAGGAAGTACCTAGAAACTAGAGTCACAACAGCAGAATGGACTGCTGACACACCTTCGACTCTTTACAAGTACTGAACTGGAATTTGTTACTGATGGAGGCATCGGTAGTCCATCGCCAATAGATACGGAAGCCTATTAAGCAAATGTTCTCTCCCACCTATAATTACTTGACAATTTAAGGGCGGATGGACGAAACATTCGTTACTCGGGGATGATAAGTTTGGTAAATGACTTTCTCACCAGTACTGACAAGAAGGATATCATTACATATGTTAAGGACTTGGTGCACTATCCCTTGAAAAATGATAAATTAGACTTCAAAGTAACTGAAGAAGATGAAAAATTACTAAATGATAAATATTTTTATATCATATTGAGCCACACTTTCAAGTTTATAAATGATTCACCAACTACTGAAATGTTGTCACTATGTAGAAGTTTAACAGAGTTTTCAAAAGGAGATATTTGGCTTGAGTGTGCCTGTAATCTGTTGTCACACAATGATACTACAGAAGTCACTTTACTTGTAGTGGAGCTGGAAAGGTTCTTCTCAGAGCTAAATCGAGTACCGGACTTTATTTCTGCTTGCATTGACAGTGATGAGGCTAAATCAGATAGTGCACAGGCCTTTCTGGAGTCACGCGCTAGGTTGTTGTCTAACGTACCTCATTACGTCGCTAACATGAAACGTGGAAATTCCTCTTACTTCACTGATAAATGTCAGTTTGTCAAGAATATTTTGTCAGCCTTCAAGGTTGTTTCCTGTACATCACAGGTTACTTATCAATTTTTAGGGTTCATTGTTAGTCAACTCTGTTTGTCTGGATATTCGGAATATGTGTCAAATTTCATCATTGAAGAGACCCAGTATAATCCAACAGACATTTGGTCTAAAATACTAGTTTACATCAACACAAAAAGCATGGAAATGTGTCTGGCTCCTCTCGCTAAGGAGTGTCCAACCCCCCAAATATATCACGCATTATTATCAGAATTTTTTCAGAAATCATCTGCTTTTGATGCATATATGAGATTATGTCGTCGTCTATTTTACATCCGTCAGTTTAAAACTGGAAATACTATCAGGAACATTTTTAGCTCATTTTTCATAGCTGTATTAAAGTGTGAAACGCCTGAACAATCAACCCATCTAGCTGCCCGAGTAGATGAGGATCTTGGATTACCTGCTCTTCGTGTATGGTCAGACTTAAACTCTATACAAGCAGCTTCTCTGGAAAGGCGTATTTATTTATCTCAAATATTGGTATCTTGGCTTACCGATTTTCGAAACCAAGTGTGTGTTAATTCATCCATGAACTTATCTTTTGATCACTTATTGCCTGATGTTCTTAATGGAATTAGTAATCATCTTGGAAGTCCACGAATCGAGATTCGCACTCTTGGTATGGTTATAGGGGAGTGGATTGTAAAGTTCTTCAATTGGAGTCCTGGCGATGATAACCAGAAGTTAAAATTTGATTATGAAGAACTAAGTTTTCTTAGTGACATCCGGCCGTATTTTGTTCCTCTGAATGTTAAGTCTAGTGATCATAATACAGTTCCAATTCTAACGTCATCAGATATTGAAGCATCCGAAATCGCCTGTAATTCACTTGGAAATAGTAAGTGTTATTTCAGCGTTTCTGGTGCAATTTTACTTCATTGGCTGGCAATTTTAATATTATAAGCGAAGTAGGACACTTGTATATTGGTCGTAAATGCCTGTATTAATACTCTACACAGGTTGCACACATTATGTCTTGTCATATTAGGAAAGTCAACTGGCGAGTCTTAGTACAAAAGCCTTGTATGTAATGTAATTAATTTAGATATTTATCTGATAGAAAGTCCAATCTTTGACTCTAATTATAATAGACTGTAGCATCCAATTACTTTTTAGGAAGTATGGAACTGCGAAACATCGCCTTTTTCCAGGAAGTAAGGTTATTTTTAAAATAGCAAAAAGTCATACGAAGAATATGTGATAGTCATTATCAGTCAGTCAGTCAGTTGCAAAGTAGAACTTCGTACGTATGTACATAAGTTCATGTTGCCATACCACATTATTAGCACAGAGACGCAAATGTCAAATCAAATCCCATAGTGATAAAGATAGTAGAGGTATTAATGTTAATAAAGAAGACTAGATTTCGACGATATTATTCAAAAAATATCATTCAGTGAGATAAGATTATAAAGAAAAAGGCAGAGGTATTGACGAATCCAGAAGATTAGGATTTGAGAGAGCTCAAGGAGTGGATGCACCTGCGCCATTGCAAACGATTTTGAGCCAAGTCGTTCAAGGTCTCTAACCATCTGTGACTTTCGTCTCGCGGACCCCAACCACGTAGTCTACATCTAACGACATGACTCAGTCCACTTGTCAGTGACTTCATGGATTTCTGCCATGTTTTGGTCTGGCCGCCCCTAACTTTCTTCCAACCTACTCCTACACCACAAAACATAGCTCGTCGGGGCAGTCGGTGGTTAGCCATACGTAACACGTCCCAACCACCTCAACTGATGAAGTTTCAGTACTTCATCTATTGATTTGCAATCCTTACTTAGTACCTTTTTCCTAACGACAGCATTGCTTACTCGGCTGTCCCACGATATACGAGCAATGCTTCTTAAACATCTATGATCGAATACTAGTAACCTACGAACATCTTCTACTCTTAACGTCCATGTTTAGTATCCATATAAGAGAACGGAGCGAACTGCTGCGCAGTACACCCGTCCTTTGGTTAGCGAACGGATATCACGCCTACGCCATAAGTGACGCAGGTTGGCAAAAGCCAATCGAGCTTTCTGTATCCGAGCTGAGATTTCGTCAGTCACCAGACCGTCAGCACTGATGAGACTCCCCAGATAAGTGAAGTGATCAACACGCTCGACTACCTCACTCCCTATCACTAGTTCAGGTGCCAATGCAACCCAGTCTTGAAGCAACATTTTGCATTTTGAGGGGGAAAACCGCATCCCAAACATGCTCGCATTGTTGCCTATGGTAGTCAGAAGACTCTGCATATTGTCAGCGTCTTCACCGAATAGAACTATGTCATCGGCATATTCTAGATCAGTAAGCGACTTTCCTGGTAGAAGGTCAACCCCTGAAAAATCTGACGAGCTTAATGTTAACTCTAAGAGGATGTCTACGACAAAGTTAAACAAGAATGGAGAGAGTGGACAGCCCTGACGGACACCACTTGATGTAGAGAATTCAGATGACAGTTCGCCATATGCTCTCACCCGACCAGTGGTGTTCGAGTAGAGAGCTTGTATAAGGTTAATGTACTTCTTTGGTACACCTTTCAATGACAGACACTGCCACAGAACCTCACGATCCACTGAGTCGAATGCCGCCTTAAGGTCCAGGAACACGACTATCGTCGGACGTCTAAATGTGTGTCTGTGTTCCAGGACCTGTCTTAGTGTGAAAATGTGGTCTATACAACCACGTACAGGTCGAAATGATAGTCATTATTGTGTTCGTTAAAACTTCAAAAGTAATTCAAATAGATGTCTTTTGGACATCAGTACCGAGAACCTATTACGGAAAACTGAAAATAATCTCAAGGGTTGTTTGGAGAGAAATCACCTCGCACATTGTGGATATCTACGAAGTGACCAAAACACTAGTAGCTAATGGATTGTTCCTTTTTGTTAGCGTACAATCTTCGCGTAGGCGAGATATCCGTCTGCTGACTAAAGGACGAGTGTACTGAGCAGCATTTCGCTCTGCCCTACCATATGGATGCGTAACATGGCCGGTAAGAGTTCAGGATATTCATAGGTTAATAGTATTCGACTATAGGTGACTTTGAAGCATTGCTCGTGTATCCTGGGACAACCGAGTAAGCAATACTGTCGTTAGGAAAAAGGTACTAAGTAAGGATTGCAAATCAATAGATGAAGTACTGAAACTTCATCAGTTGAGGTGGTTGGGACGTGTTACGAATGCCTAACCACCGACTGCCTCGACGAGCTATGTTTTGTGGTGTAGGAGTAGGTTGGAAGAAAGCTAGGGGCGGCCAAATCAAAACATGGCAGAAATGCATGAAGTCACTGACAAGTGGACTGAGTCTTGTTGGTAGATGTAGACTACGTGGTTGGGGTCCGCGAGACGAAAGTCACAGATGGTTAGAGACCCTAAATGGCATGCCTCAAAATCATTTGCAATGACGCAGGTGCATTCATTTTTTGTGTTCTCTAAAATTCTAATCTGAAACCCTCATTACCTTTTATTTCCTTTTTTAAGTTTATTTCACTAGATTCTACTTCTTGAATAATATCGTTGAACCCTAATCTCTCCGATTACTGCTAATACTTTTACTACCTCTACTACTATGGGATTTGATTTGACAATTGCATCTCTGTGCTAGTGTGGTATGGCAACCTGTAACGATGTACTTACGTACGAAATTCTAGTTTGTAGCTAACTGACCCAGGTGATTCTCATTGACTGAAATCCTCAAAACTTGTTACATTTTCGAAGTTATAATTCGTTCATTGTGTGGTAATTGTTTGAGCATCGGTGTAATAAGATAAGTATTGTGTTCCGACGAAAGCACGGCGCAAGTTCGTAAACTTTGTTGCTGTTTTTCCGAGTCACGTTGACTAACGTTGCTTCCATCTTCACAAACACGTAATTGTGAAAGCTTCGTCATATGATGTTGTATTAAACTCTTATATTGTTGTCTCGTCGTCATCTATATTGCGATTAGTTCTAAGTATTACTTTTTATTTAAATCACAACTAATTATTATTATTATCAAGTTAATGTTCTTTCTTTTTTCAATTTACTGCAATTTCGATATCTCTCTGTGTTTCTTTCATTATTTTAGACATAATGAACGAAAACTGTGAAACTGTTCAGCAAACTATACAGAAACTAGATAGTGACGATGATGCAGATAGTGATAATGACTCAATGACACCACTTCCCTCTGTTAATTCTTTTAAATGCAATAATAAAATGCCATTTTATCTTCGTGAATGTCTTGATGGAATGTTACTATCTAAAATGGAAGACAACCCAGTGAATATTGCATGTACAATGTCTGCAGAAAAATTGATCTATGCTCATCCGGAAGCAGCCCAAGAACTAGCACTGGAATTTGCTCGTGTTCTTGTTCATACTGAACCACCTGCAGCACCTAACCCAGAACAGATAGCTCGTGCTAGGCATGATGCTTTAGTAGCTATTGGTGTAGTTGCTCCCAAAAAGTGCGCACGATATTTAACGTCAGAATTTTGTCAGTCAGGAAATTCAATTGGTCAGAGAATGAATATTATATCATCTGTTACTGATATTGCCTGTAAGTTGTATGGCGGCAAGGAGGCTCTAATTTCTCGGAAATTCTCTTCAAATCATCAGATTACCAGTAATGATGCGATCATTACTAACAATGGTCATGAGATAAAGACCCGTCGATTTTGTCAAAAGCGCCCACCTCCTTCTTACATTATTAATAAGTTTGTTCCTTTTGCGGGAGAGTTTTTCTTTCCCTTGCTAAAAAGCATTCCACAATTGTCTCTTTCTTCTGTTAAAGGGCCTTTCGCCCATCAAGACGCTAGTTTACTGGCTAGCTTATTAGCCTCGTTGGGAACTATTTATGCTTGTTCCAGTTTCTCACCCGTCCAAAGTCGCATGGCTGACGAGTTAATCAGTTTAATTCCTTTATTTCATCGACATCCTGAACCTGCAGTGCGACGTGCTCTACTTATAGTCGTTGGAACAGTTATCACCACCACTCCACTGGAAATCTTATCGTCTAAACCTGAGTTGATTTTTAAAAAGTCAATCTTTTTATCTGGTGGTACAAAAAACTCTGGAGAAAATACTATTTCAAGTTGGTTGAAATCATGTTCATTGTCTGATACAGATGCAGAATGTCAGCTCTTAGCTTCTAATAGCCTTTCTGCGCTATGTGAAAGATTTTTGGAATTGAGTCACAATAAAAAAGAACTTTGAAAGAAATGGCAGCGTATTTATTCCACTTATTTACACTCATTCTGTTTGTACATAGTATATAAATTCTTTTGATCAATATATGTATATATAAATTAACGAGTGTTCAATGTTATCTTATAAATGCATGTTTGAAATATTATAGCTGTGATATATATATATATATATATATATATATATATATATATATATATATATATATATATATATATATATATTAGTCCCATAGGTAATATCTTCATTCCAAACTTAAATTTGGATTATTATGTGTATTAAAGTTTTACTATGATTTGTCTTTATTTAATGGTATAATAAATTAGTATAGATTGAGCACTTATCGACATGAACTCGACTGAAACAGGATTCTATCCTTATATCAGCGCTAATCTAACTTATCATTAGAATGAAGAGGGTAAAGTACATTTTTAAGGTTCGGTAGTTCTATTGAAACTAAATTAACCGATTTTAGACATGAATATCGGGGAAAACCAGTTAGTATGGAAATATACGAGTTTAAACTATCAGGATAGGTAAACCAATGGAACTAAGTGAATACCTGAAATTTATTATACTTGTTGGACAGTCTTGATTCTGAAGATCTGAGAACTTAAAGAATATATCCAACATGCAAACTAAGATATTTACCTCTCTGCTTATGTTTTATTTTTTTTTTCATTATTCAGTTGAGACCAAAGAAATTCATTATTAGCTGATCTAAATCAAGTTGAGTTGTCTGTCAGAAACTTGGAATCATGTGATTGTCATTGTATTAACTGCATTAAAGTATCGACTAGCCTTGCAAACATGTCTGAACTATACATCCGTCCTATATAGAGATAGATCGATCAGCTAATCGTTCTATTGCGAACTATTGGATGCCACTTAAAAGTTTTTGTACATTTTCCCTTTTGATTTTGATCGTTATATAGATATTCAGTTGGACTATAAAAGAGTTTGAATATACAAAACTCATGAATATAATTAGGTGTAAAAGAATATTAAACATCTTAGTCAGTCAGCTGCAGTGTAGAACTTGGTACGTAGGTACATCAATTCTAGTTGCCGTACCACGTCAGCACAGAGAGATGGAATTGTCAGTCCAAACCCTATATTAGAGTTTTGATAATTAGTGTCACGTAACAAGCAGTATAAACACAATTGTTTGTGAATGACAAAATGAAAAGTTTAAAAGTAATGTCTGATTCTTGGAAATTAACATGATAAGAGTCAGACAACAAATTATTCGTTTATGGGAGTTCACATAATGGTAAGCTCTGCCAAACTATGTTGATCATAGTTTGAAGATAATTATCATGAGTAAACGTTCATGATTTATGAGAAATCGAATGGATGTGTGTTAGGCAGCGTAAAATTGAGGCAATAAGTAATTGAAATTCCAGTTTCTCAGGATGTATCTTGACTTCACTTTTATTTCTTTGGGTTGTATTCAATGTAGGAAAGACCCGTAAATACTGAGAGGTAAATAAAAAAGTTAGTAGACACAATACATGAAACAGAATCAAACCATGGGTAAGAAAAGGATCTTATTGTTCAGAACTAAAGTTCCAATTGGCTGTAAGGAAGAGATTAACTTAAGTCCTTACTCTGCTTGTTTGGCTATATAGTTGATGTGATATTAAGGGAAAAAAATAATGAGAAACTAAATTTTTTGATAATTTATTTTGTTTTACATCTCTTCCCGTAATGTTCACATGCTTATATCGAATAAGGATTGTTAAATTGAATTATACTTAGGATTTATTTATAAGATTGCTTTGTATCGAGGACAAGAACGACTTCAAGTCATTAAGAGATCTAATATCAAATGGCTGCTTTTGGATAAAGATATTTGTACTTATTTCTTTAACGATTAGTGTTATAATCTTCTTCAGTGAATTAGTCTAAAAACTACTCTTTTGCGTTTGTAATCCTGAACATTTAGTACTTAAACTACACTGGTTGGCTCTATTTTTATCATAAATAATCTAAAAATTCTTACAAAACTCCAGAAGTATTTATTTATTACATTTTTAGATTGTGATTGTCAGCAAGTTTAGTTGTAATATATATATATATAAACGTATAATTTTTATCTTTTATATAGTATTATTTATTGAATGGAAAAAGAATTATCAAATATTTCATTATTAAATAATTGTTCGAGAACTTCTAATTTCGTTGGAATGCAACAAAACAACCATGAACATGAATTAACTAATAAAGAGAATGTGTACAATAATGGAATTCAATTCAGTTTAAACTTATCCAATAGTAGTATGTGTGAACGTCAGAATTTAACAACATTTGATCATTCTTTACGACCGGTTCATGCTGAAGTTTGTGTATCTTCACATAATTGTGAAGAGTTTACTGTTATTGAATCGTATGTTGTGGAATTTCTACGTCAACTTGGTCCTCGACACATACCAACTGTTCTAAACAAATTTGATAATGAATTGAATTTAACAACGTTTCATAGTGAGTTGGACAAGTTCCAGGAGATTCTTACAAATTGTGTTGCTTCAATTAATGTAAGTGAAGTTCAGTTATACTATGTTAGATTTTGTGCTTTAATCCTAGAATTATTTTATTCCTATCAAAAAAAAGTGATAAGAATGCACACGAAATTATACTGTTCGATCATTGTGGTAGACTGAAAATATCAATACCAGTAAGCAGTATGTTTCACCGATATGACTGTTAATTCTAGGCATTATATTGTTCAGCGAATCTAAAATGAACTGACCAGTTGATTTGAACGGTGCTACAGTATTACAGATTGTTTGAATAATTTACAAATCGTGAATAACTGGAAAATATCCTGTCAAAGCTTAATGTATCCTGCAGAATATCTACATAATATTTCTATTTTAGTACAGACATAATGTACGAATGTTTCCTTGTCCATTTTAACGGAAATTCTTACAGTTTATTTGTTGATAGACGAGAACTCATGTTTCATATACTTAAAGACTGTTACCCTGAGGCGAAATAACCGCGAAAATGATTGGGCTAGTTAGGTCTTCAGAATAGTTAAATCAAGAATTATCTCTGAATCATCAACTTACTGGCCATTAATCTGATCTCTATGGATTAGTGAAAAAATCAGATAATCTATTACAGATTTTTAAATCCAGTAACATTATGGAATATCAAATATAAGACTGTACCTATTTCCCTGGAGCCACTGTTTTAAGATAACCTTACATATTATCGAATAGTCTTTATTACTCTTGTTATAATTCTCTCTTAGTAAACCCAGCTATTCCTATTGCTTATTATTCTCTGATAACTGTACTCTCGACAAGTCCTCAAACCAAAACACTTTAGAACAGGGAAGAGATTATATTCCAAATAGCAAGGTTAAATGGAAGTAAGAAGCCGAAGCGAAGGCGAAATAGGAACAACGTTAGTATCTTTATAGTTTTTACATGAGAAGCTTCTAGAATGTACTCCAAGTATCGACTAGCGCTGATTGGGTAAGATTTAGTCAATCGGCGCGCAGAAAACACAGTCATGCTTTAATCCATCTATCTCCCGTTAACAATTCTGGATTATAGGTTGCTGAATTTCAAACCTTTGTGGTCAACTTTAGTACCTGGTATAAGCTTGCTTCGGGTCACTTGCCATATCATACTAACACCACATAATAAACATTAAAGGAATGATAATAATTGTAGTATCAATGGTAGTAATTAATATTTCAAATGAAGCAAAGTAAAATTAAAGAATAAAAATTGTGAAAAGTATTGAAGCTCAGTATTGTTTAAATGATGTAACCACCGAAATCTCCACAATTCAGTTGATGAAATTACTAAAAGTGTATTTTGTTAAAATTCTGCCTGAAGACCTTCTAAAGTTACGGCCTATCCTAGGCTCGGTCAAGTAATGATGGTTGACCTGGGTGTTAGAAACTCTATACCTCGATAAAAAGGCTCTGCTGAGAAAAAACACTAATACAATCAAACACATGGAATTATTCTTAGATTTTAGTGATCCTTCTGTTAATGTTGATTTACTAATTACTATCCCTCAATAAAATTCAAAAGCTTCTCATGACCTCACACAGAAACGTTCAAAGCATTGTTCTTCTCCATGCAGATTGTGCGTTATTTTCAAGTTGACCTTTATTGATTTAGTTGTTATTGAGTTTGAAGCTGTCATAGCATTCAAGTTTTGCGAAGATTCAACATTTAAATCCTATTTCTGTCTGTTTACATTTTAGTTAATGCTTGATGAAGCTGATGGAATTTATGATAACGATGCTGGTCGATCAGTTGATCTTTGTATTGCACCTATTTTAGTGCATATTTATCAATTAGTTAATGGAGATGAAGCTTTACCAGCTCAAGAAATGATTGAATTCGGTTCAGAGTCTATCAATAGTGGTACGACATGGTTACTGCCATCAATAGAAATGTCAGGTCTTTGGGAATCATTAATTTTCGATACAGATATTAAATTAAATTTATTACAATATGCACAAACTGCTCTACTATTTGCTGATCGAGAAGTAAGTAATGTACTCTGCTTTAAATTTCACTCTTTTCTCACTTATCAATAATTTATTCTGTTGCTTTTAATCAGCAGTCAGTTTATGCCAGTTCGATTGATACTTTTTCTTTGCTGTTTAATATATAACAGACAGACAAATACAACGGAGAACTTCGTACATAAGTACATCAGTTCAGGTTGCCATACCACGTCAGCATAGAGACGTAACTGTCAGTTCAAATCCAATGCAATTTTACTGTTTTTTTAATATACTAATGATGAACTCGACCGACTCCTTGCTAACTTTCTTTTTTTTTTAATGTAACAAAGTAGAATTTAAGTGCTCAGTATTTACAGCGTAAATTAGGCGTGTTTTTTGTTCCTTGAATTATTCAACTGGATCTCTTGTTGTGCTGAAATCATTCATGATCAGCCAATCAAATTCTCTGATCTATGGAAACATTTATTATTGGTCAAAACTTAATGCTTTACAAATAAATCGAATTAAAATGTTCTTTTTTTTGCATTTTATTTTCTTATTGTAATGTTTTAACATTCTATTAAACGCGACTTTTAGCTTAATTCCCTCTCATGTTTTATTGTTAAAATTTTCTTCATTCAATCAAGTTTAAATAACCACCAGTTAATGAATATTGACTTAAGTAGAGATGATTTCAAATAGTTCCAAAAAAATGTGGTTGTATACTAACTAATACAGTGTTAATACTCCACTTCTGTTATTAATATTATTATTATTATTATTTTGATTTATCAGGTATCCTCATCTGTAATTTCATGGAATCGTGTAATTCTATTATATGGTCCACCAGGAACTGGTAAAACTTCACTATGTCGAGGTTTAGCTAATAAATTAGCTATACGAATGGCTGATCGTTATTCATCAGCACAGCTAATTGAAATTAATACAATGAATTTAATGTCAAAATGGTTTTCTGAAAGTGCACGTCTTGTTACAAAAATGTTTGATGGAATTAAAGAATATTTAGAATCAAATGATCATCTTGTATGTTTATTAATTGATGAAGTGGAAAGTTTAACAGCTGTTCGAACTTCTTCCATGTCAGGTTGTGAACCAAGTGATGCTATTCGTGTTGTTAATGCAGTTTTAACTCAAATTGATCAGGTGAGGATTTTTACTTAGAAAAAAAAACGATGAATAAGTTTGCCCAATTAATTTTTACCAATAATTTTGAATTTATTATTATGTATGTATTTGAAACAGAATATTAATTTTCAACTTGAATACGAATTGAAATTTTATTTGTTTCATAAATCTATAAACCTGTTCTCCCATTTAACAAGTATCAAATTTAAACTCTTTTCTATTTATGTCAATATGTTTCCGCCTTAGTGTCTATTACGCGAACGTGTAGTTAGTTGAAAAGTTATATTGATTAGTTGAAGTGGAAGAGCTAATTCAATAGTAATTGTCAACATTACGAGGATTCTGATAAAAGACCTAAATACCAAGGTTGAAATGTACGATACCGGTTATAAAGACATCATGGGACGACATGGACTGGAAGAAAGGAACCAAAGTGGTGAGAGATTTGCAAACCAATGTGCCTTCAACAAACCGTTCATAGGCGGCACCATATTTCCACACACACGCATACACAAAGCGACATGAGTCTCACTAGATCACACTACAGAAGCCCAATTCGAGTCTCCAGTCGGGCATTTCTCGACGATTGACTGCAGTCTGTCATAGAATTGATCTTTAACGTCATTACTGTAATCGTTGGTAGGCGTATAGCATTGGATGACGTTCATTGTGATGCCCTCTTCCTTTGTTTTGAAGGATGCTTTGATTATCCTGGGTCCATTATATTTCCATTCTATCAGTGCTTTTTGTGCTTGTTTGGACAGCATTAGTGCAACTGCTTGTGTATGTGAGGCGTTTTCTTGTTGATGGCCGGAGTATAACATCATCTCTCCTGAAGTTAATGTTTTTTGTCCAACCTGTGTCTAATGTGTTTCACTGCTTCCAAGCACCTCCATGTGTTATCTTTTCATTTTTTCAGCGAGTTGATTTTCTTGAATAGAGTGAGGGTAGTTTCGTTTAGATTTACGGGAAAAAATTAGTTCATTTTTATTTTTTAAGGCTTTTCATAAAGGTTACAAATGAAGAATTTCTATACTTTTATTAACAATGTTGTTTGGAAAGTATCCTTCTGAGATCTATTTTAATTTTAATTACAAAGTTGTGTGTATCTGTAGAAGTAAGTATGCAGAAAGTAGTAGGAGAAAAGCTTTCGTTATGTTTAATGAGCATAGTTTATCGAATGTCTGTCCGAAATAAGGCAACCTCTAAACGTGTAATTTCAGGGTGGCGATAATCAAAATCAAGGTTATCAAAGATCATATAACGTTTAAAAATCAAATCAAGTTTATGCTAAATATCTTCCCAATTATATTTAGATATTGACTTGACTCATGTTATCCTATTTACTAAAGTTATATATTCTTTGATAATTTTAATTTTGATTATTACCATCCTGGTAAAATTCAAACAAAAGAGCTGAACAAAACATTGTAATTATTTAAAATTTCAATCACTGAGATTATTTCAAACATACTTTTCACAAATAATGTCTTCATTCATAACATACCGGACAATTCTTCTTTCTACTCCGTCTATTTGTTTATTCGTCAATTTTTCAGATTAAACGTTACCCCAATGTTCTAATATTGGCCACTTCAAATGTAACAGGTGTTATAGATCCAGCATTTTTGGACAGAGCTGATATACGTTTGTATATTGGTCCACCTTCTCCTCCGGCTATTTATTCAATCTATCGTACATGTTTATATGAATTAATTAGAGTTGGGCTGATCAATTCTACAGAGGATAGTCGACTATTAAGTTATCAAACATTGGCATCTGTACAATTTATGGAAAATCAGGTGAGGACTAGATATTTTTCAGATAGACAGCTGACGTGATATAACTGAGCCATTTAGCGAGTTAGTTTTTGTTGGAATGGGGTCGCCAACCCCGTGCCTAACCCTCCTCCTTTATCTAGGCTTGGAACCGGCAGTAGCCTCAGAGGGGCTCCAGGCAGAGTTTTATATGATATATAGTCCATGGAAAAGTATGTTGGTGTTCTGCACAATTAGAAACTGAACAGTTCTAAGTGGAAGAAGACTGGCAGATATTTCTGCTTTTCAAAGTTTCTGCTCTTTGATGTAACCTTTCATGTATTGGTGTTATGAACAAAAATGGAAAGACTGAATGGAATAAGTGATTAATTTGATGAAGACAAAAGCTTATTAGCCAACACTGTTTGCACCTGATCTCCAAACAAGCGGATTATCGGCTGCCTTCTTCCAAATGTCTTCTAGTCTAGTCCTCGAAACACTATGACCTCGCCATACATCCGCATCCGATACTCTTTGCTTCGGCTGTAACTTTAAGGTGACACTTAACTGCATAACCATGGCATACTACTCATAAGCTACATTGTGAGCATTATGCGCCACACTGGTCCGGTAAAGAGTTACTAGCTGAGAATAACTTTAATCTAATTTCTCATGGAAGATGAAACATGCCACTGATCGTTGTTAGCGGGACATAGATTGGATTAGAGCATGATTGTGTTGTTGCACTCTGACTGGCTCTTTCGTATCTATTCAGCACTGATAGATACCGAGGGAACATTCTAGAATTTTCTCATGCAAGAAACTATAAATATACTAACGTTTTGGACTTCTCTGTCTTCACTTCACTTTACAAAGTATATTACAATAGAATATACCATACATTTCATCAGGTAGTAAACATTCACAGGTAAGTAAAATCAACTTTATGACGTTATAAAGTTGTATTTTTTTTGTCAGTTCATTTGTTTAACACATATTTGATTATTTTCGATGTATATATATGTATATATCTCATTACACATTTTTTCTATAGGCCAATTCACTAAGTATTGAACTATGGCGTCTAGCTGAACATAGTCTCGGTTTAAATGGTCGTACATTACGCAAACTACCTTTATTAGCTTATGCATTTTATTTGAATAAAGTAATCCCTGATATGCGTTACAATTCTGTCATTCATTGTCGTCGAATTCATTTACCAGAGTCTAATAGTAGTAAAAATCATTCCTCTTCTATTCTTAATGAATCTTCATCATTTAATCATGTGAGTACATCAAGTATGTGTATGAATAATGAATTGAATCATTTTACAACACTATCATCAACAGGCATTAACCCTGAAGTAGAATTATCATCATCATCGTCATTATCATGGCCAAATCCTAATCCTGGCAAATTGAATAATAATAATAATAATAATATTTCACTAAGCCTATTTATTAAAGCATTACATTTAACTGTAACAGCTCAATTCATTGAATTAAAATCATTGGATTTAGCATCCTCAGGTAAAGGACGTTTAACTGGAATTCATTCTGAATCGAATTAAAATGTTGCATTTATCCTATCTTTATTGTTATTTTGTTATGTACACACACACACACACTATCGTCTTTTCTCTTTCTTTTCTGTACACATTTTTGTTGTTGTTGTTGTTGTAGGATGCATTTATGTGTTTTGTGTATTGTTACTTCTTTTTAATTTTTATCGATAGTTTGGTTGTTTACATTCGTCTTTTTTTTACAAGTTATTATTTTTTTATTATGGCTATTTTTGTATCCATTTTTTTAAAGACAATAAAGAGTTTTGTAGAGAATCTTTTGATATAGTTAAACAAACAAAATAGGGTCATCAGTAGATCATCAGTAGTAGTAGTAGTTGTTGTATTTAAAGGTTTTCAACACTCAAATTTTATTCATTGAGTTGTAGTTTTTGATTTTGCTATACTCAGTCAATCGGTTAGTCGTGAACAACGTAGAACCTAGAATATATGTGTATCGATTCAAGTTTCTACATCACCACAACAACACAGAGCGATGAAATTATCAAGACATATCACAGAATAGTGTCAGTAGAGTAACAGCTGCAGTGGAACTAAGGACGATTAGACATGTACAGTATGATTCTAGAAGGATGAATGTACAACATAAAAGGCGTAATTATTTCAGAATGAGACCGATTTTGAGCTATTTCATCCAATATCTCCAACCACTGGTTATGATAATCATGGGGACCGCAGTCTTTTTGCCCATCTCTGTCCGAATAACTAAGGTAAGATGGTTAAATCACCTGTAACGATGTTTAAAGCCAGCACACGAATCCGTAGATGCCTACCAAGTCGAACTTAATTTTGCTTAGCTTAAAAATACTACACACGAGTCTGGTTGTCTGTAAGGAGAATTAAACATAACGAATAGTTGATCACTGAGATTTAAAAATGTTCAAAAATATCTGTGAAGTAAAGAAAAATAATTGAATTGCTTCTGATTTTGTAGAATTTCCTATTGGGAAGGTTTACAATCTTCAGATAAAGAGAAAAGGTCTCAAGATTCAGCTATAGTTTTATAGAGAAACCGTGACCAGTGAAACCGTACCATGTTGGGTGTAAGACAGGCAGTGGGCGAGGGTTGTGCAGTTTTTTGAATTGACTCACCGTCTGAAACCGGGTCACTGGTTTAGAGGTTAAGTATCCGCACGCAAGACCGAAAGTTCCGTTTGTGAAGTCGTGGATACGCACTGCTTAGGAATTCTATGCAGAGACAAGACAATCGTCCAGTGCTTCCATGTTTTCAATTATGGTCTCATTAATATCAGATCGTGATCGAAAAGTTGGTAGTATTTATGTTTTAAGTTGTCGAATCGTTTGGAGATTCTAAACATTTTGAGGGCTCAGGGTGTGTATTCTGTGGGCTACAATTGATGTCTTTGTTAATATATATCCATTTTGGGTGGGTTTCCGTTTAGTTACAAGTTGCATTATATCAGAATTAAAAAACGAAAATCGAAATAACACCGGTTGCTCATTTGTAAATTGTTTCGATCTACAAAGTACTTGCTTCCTTACGCCTGTTACACCCAGTGGAGCATCGGCCGCCGACCAGCATTCTCCAACCTCTTTACTGGGCCTTCCTTTCCAGTTCTACTCAATTGTTATTCTTCCTCATGTCTGCTTCCAGTTCTCGACCTAATTTATTCTTTGGTCTTCAGGGTTTTATGCGTTGTGGCGCAGTTGGGTGCTTTCCGATGTATGTGCCACCGAACTCCAGCGCTTCCTCAGCTGAATAACGGATCTGCAGTATCCTGCGTAAGCAGCTGTTAATAAACCTGTATATTTTAGATGATAGCTTTCGTATGCTCCACATTTCCGCTCAAAACAGTAAAACTGTCTTTCTTTGAAAACTGTGAACTTGGTGTTGGTTGACGGCTTTTTGAGTTCCAGAAATGCTGCCCTTGCTTTACCAAACGGTGTCTACACATATGCATCATATCTATCTTGTTCACCAATGATGCTATCCAGATATGTAAAGGTTTCTATAACTTCCAAAGCTTCTCTGTCAAGTGTGATTTGGTTGATGCATACTGTGTTGTATCAGAGGATCTTGATTCTCCCTTCCTATATGTTGAGACCCACTGCTGCAGAAGCTGTTGCTGAACTAGTCCTCTTCTCCTTCATTCGTTGTTCAGTGTGGTTTAAAAGAGCTAGGTCATCTGCATCGTCCAGCTGTATCCGAGCTGTCCACTGTATACCGTTATAGGTTTGCCTTCCTTGTTCTTCACTGGTCGTTTTAGTTCACTATATTGAGCAGCCAGCCTTTTTGTTGTATCGTATAGTTTTATTGTGTTTCCTTCTCTCTACGGTTTTTCTGCTATCATTCCCAGATCTTCCACATTTATATCTGTCAGCCATAATTGCTCCCCTTCACTACTTTGTTTTCTATGTATTCAGTTTGTGCCTTTGCTTTCCCTATGGTTGTTTGGCTGAAATTGATTGCTGCCTCCTTGTTCTTCCTTTCTTGAATCTTATTCAGATTATCAACAGAGATCTATTCCTTGTGGTGGTGCTTCTGGTAGCCCAGAACCTCATGATATGTTGGAGTGATTGCCTCCTTAACCTCTTTCCAACTGTTCTCCATGGTTGTTTCCTCTCCATTAGGTAGATAGTGAAAGGCCTGATTCCTGTTGCTGAGGGCTATCTTGAATTCGTTGACTTTGCCAGTATCCCTAAAAAAAGGCCGTATTGAACTTTTGTGATGTTTTTGTACCGTTGTCCAGTGCTTCCTGAATTTCAGTTTCATCTTAGCGACCAGTAAGTGATGATCTGAGGTTATGTCAACTCCTCTCTTTGCTATCACGTCTTTCATCGTCCTTCTGAACTTTTTATTAATGCAGATATGGTAGATTTGGTTCTGTGTGATGTGATATGATGAAATTCATTTAGCTTTGTGTATGCGTTTATGTAGGAATATGTTGCTGCCTAGGACCTGTTTGTTGAAGGTACATAATTTTGCAAATCTCTTACCATTTTAGTTCCTTTTTTCCAATCCATGTCGTCCCATGATATCTTTACATCCGGTGTTGTACATTCCAACCTTGGTATTTAGATCTCCCATTAGTATGGTCAAATCCTTCGGTGGGCATTTCTCAACGACTGACTGCAGCCTCTCATAGAATTGATCTTTAACGTCCTTATTGTTATCGTTGGTGGGCGCATGGCACTGAATGATATTCATTGTAATCCTCTCTTTCTTTGTTTCGAAGGATGCTTTGATTATCCTGGTTCCATGAAATTCCCATCCTATTTGTGCTCTTTCTGCCTGTTCGGACAGCATTAGTGCAACTGCTTGTGTATGTGGGGCGTTTTCTTGTTGATGGCCGGAGTATAACAGCATCTCTCCTGAAGTTAGTGCTTTCTGTCCAACCTGTGTGCAATGTGTTTCACTGCTTCCAAACACCTCGATTTAGTATCTTTTCATTTTTGCAGCAAGTTAGATGACTCTCTCGATCTCCCACAATGTACGGACATTCTATGTACCTATATTATTGGTTGCTCTAGTTATCAGAAGGGACATCTTTATTCATATATTTCGTTTAAGTTTATTACAAATTGAAGTGAAACATTTCTCTATTGAGTTAAGTATTCTCAGCTTTTCATGAATTCATCAATTGTTTATTTAAATTAATGTAAATTTTAAATTAATAACAGACTAAAAATTTTTCTGCAATATTTCTGTCATTGATATCCTAAAAAAAAGTGAACTCTGACGCAAAATAAATAATCGTTTTTATTGAACTGCTATTTATTTAGAAATTTCAACATATTTAACCATAGACTATTTGAAGAGCTAACCTTACTTTATATTGAGAATAACTGAAAAAAAATTTTCTTTTCAGTGTATGTGATATATATATTCTCAAAATAAATTCGAATGTACTTTGATTAATTCTGTTTGTATACACCATTTCATGTAAATCTATTGAGTAAATTGAATAAATAAAGTGTATTGAACTGTAATTTCAATTTGATTGGTTCATGTATCAACCAATCAACAAACAAAATCATTGAATCATACACAGTTATTTACACATTCAGATGAATCGAGTATTTGAACATGTCTGTTCATATGAGAAAATTTTCAAAACTTATTGACAATTATGGTAGAGTTCATGATTATTTACGTATATCATTAACAGAAAAATGTAATTTAAATTGTAAGTTTTAAATAGTTTTAGTTGTTAAAAATTTCAAGGTTCATATTGTATGCCAAATAAATATCCTCAAAGAAATAAAACAAACTTGTCAAATATGATGATGATGACATCAAATGAGTTATTATTTCTTGCAGATTATTTTTGTTCTCGTGGTATCCGCAAAATTCGTTTAACCGGTGGTGAACCTCTATTACGATCAGATATACTTCAAATTATAAGTTTGAGATAATTTTTTTCATAATTCAGAATGTACTTATTCTCTTAAAAAAAAAAAAAGAATCTTTGAACGACTTAAAATCCAAACATAAACATTTCACTGAAATAGGAATGACTACAAATGGAGTGAAATTTAAAAAATTTGCTGAAAATTTTAAAATGGCCGGATTGGATTCAGTGAATATCAGTTTAGATAGTTTAAAATCAGAACGAATTTTAAAATTGACCGGACAATCTACTTTTAAAAATTCAATGGCAGCTATAATCAAAGCGATTGAAGTTGGATTTAAAAATGTTAAGGTATGTAATTAATTGTTTTTATCTTTTCAATATGAAAATAATTCTATGTCAGATGAGTTTTCATCATGGAGTAAGTAATATCTGTTGGTTGACCGAGGACAATACACCTCATAGTTATTTCATCTTACATTTCAAAATATCACAATTATCAGCTCATTCATTTTATTTGCGTGTAAAAAATCATGATACTGCTATTACTATTAATAATAAAATTACTGATAATAACAATAATAATGATACTAATAGCTTTGTTCAATGCATTATGTTTAAATACAACAGTGAATTTTTAATCAATGATTGAAAAGATTTCAACAAATCTAAATATAATCAATTCTTTATAGAAGCACGTGAGTAACTAAGTGAATGTTTGCAGTATTGAAACAGTTTAAAATTAGGTAGTCTATAAGTTGCCTCGATGGCTATTTTTTGCATTTCAAGTTCTATGTACGTACAGTTATCCATTTAATCAAGAAGTGTTTTTCACTACACATCTTTTAGAGTCAACTACTGTGACCAGATTCCTTAAAGTGTGAGAGGTGAAAAAGAATAAAATACGAACTAGTTTCAATTTCACGATTTCTTTTCCTTATGCCTGTTATCTCTTATGGAACAAAGACGACAGACCAAGGATCTCCAACCATTTTTGTCTTGAGCTCTTCTTTCTAATTGTTCCTAAGTGCTTCATCTGTCTTTGATTCCCGGTGTAATATGTATTCTGATCTTCCTGCTTTCTTTTTTTTTTGAGGGCTTGCCTTGTGGTGCATTTTGATTATTCCTGCAAAATTTGACTTATTCGTCTAGAGCATCTTACCCTAATTTCCTCTTCAGATCAGACCTACTGTGTCCTCTGCAGTGGTAAATTATTGTTATCAATGTATGATTAACAGATCTGGAATATATTTCATAGGCAACTGGTCATAAATACCCGAAATTGTTGATGATAGTTGTAGTGTAGTGAAGACGAACACAGGTGAGGGCAACCGAATTGTATTTACATTCAATAGAACCATCTTAACGTTTATAGTGAAAATCCTGACACTAACTAGAATGGCTTTATAGTCAATAATTGGAAAATTCATTCAACCTTTTTTTGAAGACTTCTCTTTGTTTATCAATGGAATTTAAGTTTTCATAAAATTCACTCTTATGTAAATAATTACTAACAAATTAGTTTAGTATCAAAATTGACTATTGAAACTATGTTTGTTTAAAAGTATTCAGGAATCAGGAACGTAAAATATAATACCATTAATAACAATGAGATTACCACTCATTAAAACAAAAAACAATGTTTCTGAATATTGAGCATGAATCATAGAGACTTTAAAGAACAAAATGGTGAAAGTGACTTATTTTTCTAGTGTGTTATAAAGAAAAATTTATACTAAACGCCAAACAAAACGTCAAACATCTATGTTATCGAATAATCAATTGTACAGAGAAAAAAGCAACACTGGTCTTTAGAAAATAAGTTAAGGAATCTAAAGAAAGCTGAGTCTAAATTAACAGCAGTTATAGTTTTTTATATTAATTTAAATTCTTGTAAGATATGAATATAGTTATTATGCAGAATGTATATCATTGATATTACTATGCGTTCAAAATTCCCCTAATTTGATGACATATTTACATGTAGTAAACAATAGATAAATTGTAGTTAGTTGGATTATGCAACATACGTGTTTCATCCCATTAGAGGCTCGTCATATGATTGAAGTTGCAACGGAATTAGAACTGCCGTTTCTAATACCTAAAGCGTTATGCATTGAGATACTGAGTCCAGACAGGCTTTAGATTGCTAAATATGTATGAACTTTATACCATTATAAGAAAGAGATTTGGTTTAGTAACTCAGTGAAAAAATGAGTTGGGAATATGACATGGAATGAACTTTGTTTTAATCCCAGTGAGGTATAGGTAAGTCAAGTCTACCAGTCCCAAACAAAATGAAAAGTGTGTCCTGGATTCTAAAGCTGGTCACAATCAATCTGTTTGATATAACTTGTAACAAAAAAGGCTGTAGTGAGACATTTCGCACAAGATGAACATAAACTAAGAAAAGATTGATTGACTTTCAGTCAAAAATGGTGTAATCCAAGTTTTGGCTCCGTGGTCCAGAGGTTAGGCGTTCATGCGCAAGACCGAAGGTCCTGGGTCCGAATCCTGCGAGGTACAAGAGTTGTGAATGCGCACTACTGATGAGTCCCACACAAGGACGAAGCGGCCATGCAGTGCTTCCAGGTTTCTAACAGTGGTCTAAAATTGATCAGTTCATGATTTACAAATTAATAATAATGTTTATATCATTTGTTATACTAAATAAGATCATACTAACACCAAGAAGTAAAGTCAATTTCCGAGTAGAACAAGTATTTCCTAATTGAATTTACTTATTCATTTAATATTAATAAGTTGTTTACAGTAAGTCACAAAAGTTAAATTTTCTTATTTCTACTAAGTTACAAATATCATTCTTTTATTATGAACATTATTTTTCCAATGCTCATTGCATTTGCAATAATCAAGTGTATACTTGGTATAAATCCTCTCTTAGTTCATTAGATTATATCCAAATTCAATCGATAAACGAATAAATCTAACTCTTAATCGATTTTTAGAAAAATATCCACGAAGAGAACAAATGTTTTACAGCAAAAGGTTTTTACTTATTTGATTAATCCTCTTCAAGATTATCGCTTCAATGTTCTGCTTGATTTTGTGTAAACACTCTGTCTCTCTGAATTTCGATCAATGGTTATCTAACTTGTACATGAAGTCGCTATAAAATCAGTCTTCAATGATATGAAATATTTCAAGAAATCATCAATATTTTTTTTTTAAAATCTTTATTGTTTATAGGTGAATTGCGTAATTATGAAAAATTTCAATGAAGATGAATTATGTGATTTTGTTAAATTGACACGATATCTAGTAAGTGTATACTTGTATTGATTAAGTTTCATTTTTTTCTTCACTGAATAGTTTTTAAAACAAAATCATTCGATTTATTCAATCTGTAGAAGTGCTGAAATTTCATGGAACACACCAACGTTTGTTTTATCCTAGTTTCAGACTCTTCAGTATTAAGTATTTACTGCTGTTCTATGGGCCGAATTCAAAGTCAGGTGTAGGCAGTAACTACCAAAGACAAATGGGTGAAATCGCGCAAAATCCGTAGATCAATCAGAGTTAGACATTAACACCGTTGGATGCCGGCCCAGTGGTCCGATGGTTAGGCGTTCGCGCACAATACCGAAGGTCTCGGGAACGAGTCCTTCGAGGTTCAGGAGTTGTGGATGGGCACTACTGATGAGCCCCACACCAGGACGAAACGGCCGTCCAGTGCTTCCAGGTTTGTAATGGTGGTCTAACAATGATTGATTGATGATTTCAAATGTGTAAAAAAAACATAAATCTCCAAAACTCTAACTGATAATTCAAAGCCGATAGATTATACCAATTTGTGATTAGTTAATAGTTAACTCTTTCTATGGAACAAATACCTAACTGCTATTTACGATAATTTAGTTTATCTTTAAGAATTTTTGAGTGATTTATTCATTTATTAATCGATTCCTTTGATATTCTGTGTGCGATGCATCAAATAATTTTTTTCATTATAGAATCATAGAGATGATAATTTCACATCGAAATCATCGTTAGACTATCATTAGAAACCTGAATACATTGGACGGCCACGTCGTGCTAGTATAGATAACATCATTGACATTGCTCATCCAATATCCTATCTCTCAGGAATCGAAGCCAAGTCCCTTTGCTCGATCAATCTAAGGGGTTTCGCGCAACCTCACCAGTAGAGTTCAACCTTGTTGAGTATAGGAAGTAACTACCGAAGACAGTGGGTGAGGTTGAGCAAAATCTTTAGATTGATCAGAGTCAGACATTAATATCTTCGGTTGCCGGCTCAGTGATCTAGAGGTTAAACGTTGACACGCAAGACTGAACACCTCGTGTTCGATTCCTGCTAGTAGCGGGAGTCATGGATGGGCACTGCTGATGAGTCCCATACTGGGACGAAAGAGCCGTCCAGTGCTCCCATGTTTCTAACGATAGTCTAACAATGATTGATGCACGGCAACAAATAATTTTTGTGTATAAATAGTAACATTGTATTAGTAATGATGATTGCTCATAATCAATCTGAACTACTCTTAAGGTGCGAAAATGTAGAAAAGGAAACCGAATTCTGTAGTGGACTGTCGTTTTTTGTGCCGGATGTTTCGGTTGTGGAGCCTTCATTGTTCCTCTGAACAACATCATCAGCACATACTTCAGATAGGAGTGAAGTATTCGAATTTCTCCACGTTTGACCCGTAGCTTGTTCTGTTAACCTCTATCTTGATTAGTTGTTGTTGACCTTAAACCTGTCGTTGTTTGCACATTTGTTTTGATTTTATCTTCCTTTCATTAGTTTCTTGATCTTATGTTTGCCTTTAATTTTTCTGATTGGTTGATAGACTGGGTCATTGTTGATGTGTTTGGTGTTTTCTGGTTGACTTGAGTGCGAAGCTTCTAAAAATTTTTTAGTGCTCAACATTGTTCCAGTCAAACGTATGTCCATAGTTTTTCCTATATATCGACACAAAGAAATAAATGTCCTGGAGTTTGACTGCTAATTGATGTTCACTTAAACGAAGCTGAAGAGGATGTCCACTTTGTCCTATGTAGTGTTTTTCACAATTCATTTTGTAGTCAATAGGTGGTTTTTCTTCCTTTGTCATTTTTTCCTTTCGTCTACATTGGATTGATTGAAGTGATTCTATTGGTTTGTGTGCTACACCTATTCCAAATGACCACAGTAGTCGTTCTGTAGGTTCCAATGTGTCTTTTATGTACTGTAGAATGATCCGTTTATTGGTTCCTGTACTTGATTTCACTTCTGTTAACGATTTCAGTTGTTATTTTTTACTGAAGTTGCGTGGATAGCCGTTCTTTAGGATTTAAAAACACTAGATTGGACAAACTGGACATCCTCTCCAGAGGACGAGACTCCATCACAATCATCCACCTAAGCTACAAATTTCCCTCACCATCTCAAATCGAATTCTTTAGTTAGTCGGTATTAGTTTTAGATGAAACATACAGAAAAATAAACAAATAATTCAAATCATCTTGTTACAAAAGATATGAATTAAAACTTATGTCAACAATTCAATCAAAATCAGTTTCTCTTGATTTCATATGTTTTTGATCTGTCAAAGTTATCCTAGTAAAAATTCAAGTTCATGCGAATGTTATCATTCCAGTGTTGAAATATTTTTCTGCATAAAACACTTTTTAGAAGATTCATCATTTAAAAGTTAATTAAAACTTCGTCAAATAATTGAACATTGAATATTTTGGTTTATGCAAATATAAGAATATTATTATTAAAATATCAAAAATATTTAAATATCTTATATGACTAAGTTTGTTGTTTTAAGCATTCACTTTTGTGATTCACAAGACTAAAAATGATAATATTTATCTATGCTAAAAGCATTTCTGTTTACTAATGAACGAATACATCAGTCCAGTAGTATTGACTTTTCACTACAAAATTTTACATATTCTTAAACTGAAAAAAAATAATTAGCAATGCAAATTATGCAACCACATAAATTTCAGTCTTCGGGTTATTTGTGTACTGTGTATGAAATAACATAGAGAGTAGATTTTAAACAAATCAATAATAATAACATATCTTGAAAATAATTACAGAATACATGACAACTTACAGGCGATAATCAGGTCCATGAGGAATAAACTATTTGAAGATCATCCTTTTTATAAGCTATGAAGAGCAAGAGTCCCAAGAAACGAACTACCTTGTAGTATTCCACCTGTGACTGGGACAGCATCAGACATGGAAGAAGTTTATTGGGTTATTTTTTGCCGGTAAGAGAAGAGAAAAAGATTAAACAAAGCAACACCAGATGTCTCTGATTCGTGAGGGTGTCAGTTTATTTTTAATAAGCTGGTGGTTAATCATGTCGAAAGTTCTAGAAATGTTGAAGTATAGCAATAGGATTTCATGTCCAAGACTATTTTTTGTTCCTTTATATCATGAATTTCTAAATAAATTCTTTGTTTATCTTAATACTACAATGAATAAGGTTATCGTGAGTTATCTGGCCTTTGTTTCCTATTTCCTTGTTAATGAGAAGAGTAGAAATTTAGACAGATTCACATTAGCATGGTGCATTTTGATGTTTGAATAATGCATACGAATATGTACTTCTTTTCATTATTCTTACTATTTATTACAGCCTATTGAAGTACGCTTCATTGAATATATGCCATTTGCTGACAATCAATGGGAAATATCAAAATTATGCTCATTTAAACAAATGTTGAACATTGTACAAAATTCCTATCCAAATTTAATCAGTTTAAATGAAAAATCATTTGATGTTGCAAAAGTAAGCATTGTATAAAATACTTTTATTTAAAATAACCAATAAAATTATTAAATTTGTTTTAATGCATAAAGTTATTTTAACAAATGAATAAATGTTGTATTGAATTGTTTCATTGTAAAATGAATTATTCGTACATATATTGCTATGATGAATTGTGCATTATTAGTTTGATTATCGATTAATGATTTGTTTTCAAAAAATCGCATATACTCTATATTTCGATTACTTCAGATAATGACTTGTTTTGTACAGTCTTAATGAAAAATGCTTATGAGTTTAAGGAATATGACATTGAATTAACGTCGATTAATAAAATGTGAAAAGAGAAGAGAATCATTTATTTTATTCATCAACACAGTAAGCCTAAAACTTGAATATTAAAATAGAAAGTGGAATAATGACATTAAACGATCAATTAGAAAATTCACAGTGTTATACAGTTTCATAACTAATGTATATATATATATATATATATATATATATATATATATACCCAGAAACAGCAGACTGGTTCCAGGTTCTTTCTAAAATTCATAAGCCCGCTCCTTTTTGAAGTAGACATTGATAACACCGTGTCGTTCGAAAGTGAACGTCTCATTTTTAAAACATCCAGCTTAAAAAACTCAATACCACCGGAAATAAGTAGGGTAATCATAGAATAATACAAAATATATAACTATGTACCGATGTTTATCGGTGAAATACAATACTACATTTTTAACACAATGGTAGTTAAATTCAGTGACGAATCACACTGTCCCTACTGTTATTCTTCCATTGGTTTTATTGATTTTTTTGTCCAGCTTTTTCAAGTATCCGGATGGTTAGGAAAGATTGGGTTCATTACTTCAATGACTGAGAATTTTTGTGCTGGTTGTTCACGTTTACGTCTTACAGCTGATGGAAATCTTAAAATTTGTTTACATGACAATTATGAAGTGAGTTTAGTGACAATTCTACGCAACACAATCAATTCACATGTAATTGAGGAATGGATGATGAAAAAGTCAAATTGTAATTTGAAACAATCCAGTGAATTGAATGAAATTTACAATCAACTTGATCAAATTATAGATGAAGCTTTAACTAAAAAATCTGCTAATCACAAAGGTAAATATCGTTTATCTGAATAAACATTTTCATATTAATCTGAATATCATTTTAAATCTTGATGTGCTTTATTATTCTAGTAGTTAGTTAAACAAAAAGAATCAATATGTCCCGATTACAGCATTTCATTACAAGATTATTTATTTAAAATCAAAATGTTAGTACAGAGGAGTACCTGTAGGGGACGTTAGATCTCCACAACTCGCTTGATAAGTGTCTTAATTTTGGATTTCATTCATGGGCTGATCAGTTGACCTTGAGATCACAGTCGCCACCAAGAAAATCCTTAGCTGTGATTGGTTGACATGTTATTTTAGTATGCTATTTTTATGACTCTCCCAAAGACGTTTCTGTGATGTATAAATAAATGCGATTTGTGTGCTTGAGTTCATTGTAAGTGCTGGGTGTTTGTAGAATACACTTTCTACGCCATATCAAGAGTTTTTCCTTGGTTAGTTGGGACAACGAATCAGAGTAGCCTACCGTGTCACTGGGTTATTGTCTCGTTCTCGTTTATCGACTAAGGTGAACTCGTAATAGTTTCAAGCATATCAAGTGACGAGCATAACAGTACCTGAATATTGATGCGCTACATATATCAATGAATTTATGAGCAGGCTGGAATATTGTCCAAGTGTACAAATTGAATCAGGTGGTTTTCTTAGAGAGGCTTCGACTAAGAGGCCTAGTCCATAAGGCAATGGAGCAACATCAGGAGATGTAGTCTCATGGTAACCGGTGACCAGTAATAGGTTCACATGACATTTCTTCTCTCAGGATCCTCAGGCTCATGTGTATCATTGATTTTGAATGAGGGTTTAATGGCCAGCTATCTGATTCTAATTTGTACAAACAGTTGAATATGCTGTGAAATAAATTTTCCATTTAATTTCCGTATATTATTCTTAGGTAAACCCCGTTTGTGCAATATCAATAATTAAAAGCTCAATATTGAATGCATTAGGTAAGCAAACGGGAATAAGAATGGAAAGCTTAAAAGCGAAGCGAAGAAGGCGAGTTTGCCAACTCCATTTGATGAGGCATGACTAACTAATTATAATCAGACAAAAATACGCCAGACATTTGATAGGCAAAGCAAGCAGTGTGCACAAGCGAATAATTGACAGGATTAAAATACGAGCAAATAATATCTCAAGAAGAATAGTTTAGTTGGTTTGTCCAAAAGGCAGGACAAGCTATGTAGGCTTGACATATTACTGTACACTACAAGGGTTTTCTAAGTCCACCGGGTGGATCCTCTGTACCATCCAACTCGGCATAAGCCTCCGCCGGTCATTTAATTTTCATCCCCTCATTTTTTAACAGCACTCAAGCTACCAAAAGGTATGCGCACCCTACCACATGAGATCATCTCCAAGCTCTCAGCCGTACCAAAGAATTTGTGGTTATTATCAGATAATATATGAATGCAGTAGGTGTTGAAATTTCGATTGTTTTTCTAAAAAACTTTGTAATAAAATGAAAACTTTATGAACGATAAAGTAAGCTGAAACATTTAAATCAATTTATCTAAGACACATTAAGATAATAAGAAGCCAAATACGGATTCTGTTGGGCAATCATTCTTGCAGACAGACATGAGAACAAGAAGCGTACAATAAAGGTGAAGCGAAATGAGGAAGGAGAGAGAACCAACTCAACGCGATGAAGCATGACTAGCTTTTGAAAGCCAAACAAGCGATGAGCAAACTAAGAGCACACTCGCACATGCAACCAAGATATGATCGAATGTTTGATAAGGTCAAAATGATAGTGAATAATTTTCGAGCATAAAAGGTTAATCAATTTGTCCGCAAGGTGGGACAAACCTTGCGGGTTCAACATATGAGTACACATGCTAAAAATAATAGTAAACCTGCATCCTAATTATATCAAATATTATCCATTCGAACTTCATGTTTATTCACATGAAAGAGTTCATTGTTTGACGAAATTATCTTTTATGCTAAATCATTTGACTAAAATGACTGAAATTTATTGATTTACTGACCAATTCATACCGCTGTAGTTTTATCTTGATTGATTCATGTCATTTTAAAACGGGGATGTTTATCCTGCCAACAAATAGGAAAAGCTAATCTTTTCTTTGACACTTTTCTTTTGACAGTTATTAACGTGATCCTTATATCATCATCAATAAAACTGTATCAAAATTGCTGATTTAAATTGGTTTGTAATATTTTATTTTTGTGGAGAACTAAGTTATTTGTTCTGTTCTTTTTCAAACAAACTATAGGCGCTATTCAACTTGCATCAAGTGTAAATCGTTCAATGGTTCGAATTGGCGGGTGAACAAAAATCTCCCGGATCATTTAATTCATACGATGAATTTTTAATCAGTGTAGAAAAGATTTTTTTGTAAATATATATTAAGTCATATATTCAATGAGTAATTTATACTCTTTTGTTGTTGATACTGTATGTTTTGGCGTATCAGTGTATGTATGTATGCGTTGTTTTGATAGAACGATGCAAGTTCAACATTCAATAGTTTGAATAAATCAAAATCCATAGGATTGGAAATTTTAGATAGTTGGAATTAGAAGTTGGAAATAATTTTATTTATATACGTTAACTGAATTCGACATAATTTTCATAGGTCATACTTTTGTATCAAGGTAATGTAGGGAATCCGCACACATACATAATGGTTTGTATGAGAGAGACATGTGAAAATGAATATCGAACCATAAATCACAGCTCATTTGAATACTCGTTAGATTATTTTGACTACTTCGAAATACAGACGCCTTATAGATAGATATTGCTTGATTTAACATTGTAATACCCTCCAAAGTATTTAATTCGGTTTAGTTAACTTGACCAAATGGTATATTGATGATTTGTCTTGTAAATGTGAGTGAAATTTCTAATACTCGGATTATTCCGAATTATCGAACTTCCAATAATTTTACTGTTTTCTTTTTAATTGTTGCGTTAATCAACTTGCTGTCTGGTTATAGTCTCATTATTGTCTTAAACTTGAACTTTCTCCCTTAAAAAAAAATTCTCCTATTGAATGGGTTACAATCAATAAAAGTGATTAGTGAATAATGCTCATTAGAATTCAGTAAATTTTGAAATAGAAATAAACTGAAGATAGATATATATTTTTAATCAACAAATCAATGAATAGTGCCGAATATAATGTTAGTCTAGTCGTTTAGAGATGACCGAATTCTATCGATCAAGTTGTAATGTGATTACTAGTCTAAAGTGATTCAATAAGGTGAGGTATTATTTAGTTGAAGTTAATAGACAAGTAAACCTGGACTTTGGTTTCGTGCTGTTTAGCATTTGTTAGTAAGGTTCAGTTTTGAAGGAACTGATGCTTTCTGTTAAAAGTGATCCTATTCTCATCTAGCTTCACAGTTGGAAATGTGACCATTAATTGGTCAATAAGTAGTCAACAATTTTGTGTTTATCTGGTCCTTTATTGCTGGTCGAATCTCATGGATCGAAATGGAAGTTACATACGAAATTACGCTCAAGAATCATTTTATCTATTTATATAGACCAAATGTGTTTGGAGGATTAATTACATAAAATATTGAATGAACTCACTTCATATCACAATGCTTGAAGTTATGGACTCATTAGGGATCAAGTTATTGAATGAAGAATTATTTTTCTGGTTAGCGTTTTATTAGCGAGATACTTTTCTACGGGGTGGGGTCGCCAGCCCCATGTCCAACCGTCCCATTATATCCAGGCTTTGGAACAGTTGTAACCTTAGAGGGGCTCCAGGCTGAGGTAATTTGATTTCGCAGAGATTATGTCACATTGAAATCATGAATCAGTCATCATTAGACCACCATCAAAAATCTGGAAGTACTAGACGACCACTTCGTCCTGGTATGGGACTCATCAACAGTGTGCATCCGCGACTCTCTGTACCCGCAAGAATTGAATCTAGGACCTTCGACTTTGAGCGTGAACACTCAACCTCTGGACCGCGAAGCTGGCTTAAGATCTATCGCACACGCAACAACAAATGCAGGAGAAGAGGACCCGTTTGGCAGCAGTCTCTGAAATTGTAGGTTTCAACATACACACATGGAAAGGCAAGATTCTCCGATACAAAACAACATGCGCCAACCAAATCACACTTGATGGAGAGGCATTGGAAGATGTAGAAACCTTTACATATCTGGGCAGCATCATTTATGAGCAAGGTGGATCTGATGCAGATGTGAATACACAAATTGGTAAAGAAAGGGCAGCATTCCATTAATTGAGGAACATCTGGAACTCAAAACAACTATCAACCAACACCAAAGTCATAATTTTCGATACAACATCAAGACAGTTATACTGTATACAGTATACTGTATGAAAAGAGGAGGAACGCATTACGCCGAGTATTAGGGACAGACATGAACACGAATTGCATAGAACTGAAAACGAAGGTTTAGGACAGGTTAGGTAGGAGAATGCTTGTCGATGGCCGATGCTCCACGGGGGGTAACAATGGTAAGTAAATAAGTACTTAATGAAAAATTTTAGAATCACCTTATGGTTAAATTGAAGTTAATTCTTCGGTGCGAGGGTGTAAAATATCTCATGATTTTTTAAACAGTTATTAGAGATTTAGAAATTGACACTAATGGTATTTTGATAATGGACTTAATCAGCTGTTTTAGGAAATAGGGACTACTTAACCAGATGTCACAATTTTAGTTCTTTAATAGTTGGATAGAATCACTCGTGTGCTGGTACGGATATGAGGGCGGTTGTCACTTCCCGGCTGCCCACACCGTGGAAGGTTGTTTCTTGAGGGATCTGAAAAGGAAGATAGATTAGAGTTGGTCTTGGAGACCTGGGAGAGTGACCGCAGAGCCCAACGGACAACTGCTAGAGACCGGTCACGCACGACCTTTTGATGAAAGGTTTTTTGAGGATCAGCTCCGCTCTTAAAGGCCCTTGGTGGGCACCCTTACCACCGGAGACGGAAATCCGTGAGGTAGGGGAGGTGTGACATTTTTAGGGTCGACATTTTCTAACCCTTCCTTCCTTGTGAGAAGGCAGCATCGCTGTAGATGCTGGTTATCCGAGGGAAACACCTTACTGCTGTCACACCCCTCTGCAGTCAGCAGTACGACTTCGCCCTCAGACCTTGAGTAGCTGCTTTTAGTCTGATCGTTCTCCAATCGACGTGCCTGGCATGGTAGAACCTTCAGGAATATATGTTGCAGCCAGTATAGCTCGGTTGGGTCATCACGATAGGCAAGCCCGACCACCACGTCAAGGTAGCAGCTACGGTCGGGGGATAGGATCACTCTCAGTGGGGTAAATGATTTAACCCGTATTTTCGACTAGATTTCGAGTTACAGTATTCCTTCACACAACATACCTTACATTACTACTTTTTAAAACAAAAAGTGTATCACCAAGCTTCAGCGCTTCTTATTGTCATTACTACCGTACTTTTTCGATCCCTTTGTCATTCGTTTTGTTAATTTTCTCAAGCTACTATATATTCTGAACAATTGAACCAATTGATATTCATATCTTAGTATGCATTAGCTGTGACTGACTGAATTACTGGTGTTGTTTGAATTAACAATTAAAATAATCATCTTTTTTTTATTATCAGAGCCAAATGATGAGTGTGTATCAAATGATCAAAAATTTTGAAATTATCACAATGTGTTATGAAAACAGACAAGAAATAAAAAGAAAAAGATCATTAAAAAATGTATCAGTGATTCAATGGGGATGATTCATTTTAAAATTGCGACGCGGGATTTTCAATTGAACACACTACTAACTTATCTGTTTTAGAATAAATTAATTATTCTCAATGTTGTAGATATTTACATTTTTTTAAAACTAAACTAATATTATATACTGTTTTATTTTCAAAACGTTCATCTTAATACTGTTAATTTATTCATCTAAAAAGTTAAGTTAGATTAAATGCAGAAAATTTTTATTTTCACTGATGAAACGTAACAATTCAATAAGACTTCAAGTGTATAAAATGTTCTTATTTTGCATGTTCATTTTTGAAAAGATGAATCATACACAGAATGTAGTGGAACATTTATGTGAAAAATTATTCACAATAAAGTTAAATGTTTACCAGTCTAGGTAACTTGATATAGTTTTAGTGGTGACCGAGTCCAGATTGACTATAATCACCACTAAATGTTCCATACTATCCCGTCATATAAATCAAAAATAAATCCATGTTCGAATTTTTTATTGAAGGAGAAAGTAGGCATTACATAAAGAGCAGCACGTGATGAAAAATGGCAGCGGCGCGAAAAGAACGTTGCGCACAAGAACTGTTTTTGGTACAGTTAAACAAAACGAGTACAATAATAAGTGTTTATTTTTCACCAATCGCGTTTTCTTCATAGAAGTGTTCCACTACATAGTCATGGCAAGCAGAAGATTCAAGTTTGATAGAGGTATACTCAGTGAATGCGTAATTAACAACGACCTTTTGTTACAATTCATCAGTTGCTTTGATTTAAACACAGATTATTAGAATCATTCATCACTAAATCTATGCGATTTTCAGGTACGTGCTTAGCATTACACAAACACAAAGATGTAGAACAATGAAGTCAAAAAGTCATGAGTTCGAAAACTAAATGAGATCGCAGATATGTTGCCCTGCCAAGTCCTGTACTACATCAAAATAATTTTCCAGTTTTCTCTGATTTTTAGCCTATTACAATAACCATCTTAAAAAATGTAAGCTATGTCCAGTTACGTAGATTTTATTAGCAAAGATAGTAGATTCTTATTCAACATTTCTTTTAAATTTCTAGCATGAAAATTGTTTCAGTGCTTTTAAATAATACCTAAACGACTATTCGTTGTTTTAGAAAATTCAAATCGATCCGCCAACATAATCATCAATTCTACTTCAAGTAAACACAAACTTTTGCATAATCAATATTTATTACTATATATATAAATATATATTATTTCCTGTTGAACACATGAAAATGAGTCATCACACTTTGATCAATTGTTTTAAACGTGCAATTGAATCGAATTGTTCAAACAGTTTAAAGAAATCATCCAGACGATCAAGCATGACAGAACAACAAAATTTGGTAAGCATTATTTTCCTTGAAAGATTTTGTTCACTTACAATACAGTCTGTAAATGATAAACTCTATTCATTATTAATTATCAAGTGATTAATTGACAGTAGTATTAGGGAACCAATATCAAATAATTTGTAGTTGCTTCGTCATATGGATAATGGAAATTAGTTCACTGACTGGTATAATCATAACCGAGATAAATGTTTTAACTCATTACAAAAGCTCTTCATTTTCAATGTGAATCATCATTAAGTCATGTGATCAAGGCTAGAAAAAACTCACATAAATGACAAATATCTTTCAATATATTTAACCAAATAAGCCGCTGGATGATGACATTAAAAACCCATACAACTGGATATTCATCAACGGTATAATAAATTATACTATAGATAAGAGGATCAAAATTTTGACGTACATGTTTTAATCATTAAAGTAACAATCGATACAGTGCCTTATGGATCAGTGTTTTATTCGTCAAACAATAGGAAGCTATAAATGAAGTCAAGGATGAGTGTATTTATGGTACAGTTCGATTAGTTATAAAAATAGTTTAATGCTGACGGTCTGTATTATTCCATTGGGAGGGAAAAATGAATTTTTTAGTATGCGATCCTGGACCTTGATTTTTTGTTAGTTGACACTTGTTAGCAAAGTATGGTGGCGAAATTGGCAAGACTAGTATTCCCTATGGAGTTGAGACTCAAATCACGTAATGTCACAATCTAAGCCTCGGTTGAAATCCTGCAGGATAATATATTTAGATTGACTCATTAATAAGTAGTGAGTACTGATAGTTTATTCCGTAGTGATGATCAAACACAATCAAGTGTCATCAACTATCTAGTGCGCGGAACGTAAAATCATTTAAACTAATAAACAGATTTCAATAAAATTTAATGAGTACCAAAGGACTGGACAAACATGGTATTGATTACTTCTCATTAGAAGGACATTAATCATAATTTAATTTAACTGACAGACTGCTTCGTTTCATAATTGTTGTGGATGCGCACTGCTGATGAGTCCCATAACCGGACGAAACGAACGTCCAATGCTTCCAGGTTTCTAATGGTAGTCTAACAATGATTGGTTGATGATTTCAATGTGTAAGAACACTAATCTGCATAACTCTAACTGAAGATAATAAGACAAAAACCACTATGAATACACCAGAGTTATTCCTTACATATGACTTGAAATTATTTACATCCGAACGACATTATATCTATAAATTAATGCAGTATGTGCTTTACTACTTTTATTTTATTAGTAGTTCAGAATTATTGATTTAAATGATTAACCACTTAAACAATAACAATGACAGAAATATATTTTTGGTTTTGATAATGTTAACATTTCAGGTTGAGATTTGTGACGTAATGACTCACTCACCAAAAATGGTTGATATTTCATCTAAAATTATAAAACAATTCAATGGAAGCAATCAAAGACAAAATGGTTTTACAACAATTAGATCAGCAAAAGCTGAAGCATTTATATGTATAGATGATTATTTAAAAAAATTTATCCAAAATCAATGTTTAGTTACAGATAAAAATTCAGATGAGATTATCAATGATATCAGTGATGATGTCAATCATACAGATGAACTTTTAACACCAAAAGGTGACGTATTCATAGTGGCACGTTTAGCTGGAATACAAGCTGCTAAACAAACATCCAGTATTATACCATTATGTCATCAAGTAAGTTGTTGAATTATTTGTTTTAATGAATAAATTAGATTTTAAATTTGAATTAGTGATTTTAAAGCATGAATTTCATGTTGTTTATGCAATTAGTAAAATAAGTAAAAACTAATTTAGAAAATTTAAATCCTTAGAATTTTTACCAGAAAAATATGTAGTCGTAAGACGATTTATCCTAAACCAAGAACAACGAGCAGTGTAGAATAACACGAAATTTTATTTTGTGGGTTTTTTTCAGTTGCTAGAAAAACTAAAACATGATGGTATTGATCATTAAAAAAAACACTATATACACACCTATTTCATATAATGATATCTGATAAATTCTCATTAATGAATATTAATTTTTTGTAAAAAAAGGAATACGTACGAAAGAATTCAAAGGGAAGTCTATTGATTATTTTTGAATATTCACGAAGCAAAAAAACGAAGTGTATAAAAACAGGATTGTTTAGAAGTCAAACAAAAGATCAATACTATAGTTCTGTGACAATGAAACAGATAGACAGATACAACGCAGAACTTCGTAGATAAGTACATCAGTTCAGGTTGCCATGCCACATCAGCACAGAGACGTAACTGTCAGTTCAAATCCAAGAGTGATAGCGATAGTAGAATTATTAGCAGCAATGGAAAAGATTAGGGAGCAAAGATATGATTCAAAAAGTATAATTCAGTGAGATAAATTTAGAAGGAAAAAAGATAGAGATTATGAGGAATTTAGAAGGTCAGAATTAAAAAGCACACAAAGAGTAGATGCACCTGCGCCATTGCAAACGATTCTGAGCAATGTCGTTCAAGGTCTCTTACCATTGGTGACTTTCGTCTCGCGGACCCCAACCAGATAGCCTACATCTACCAACATGACTCAGTCCACTTGTCAGTGACTTCATGCATTTGTGCCATGTAAAAGGTCAATTTTATCCAATCGCTAAAATTTGTGTATGATACGTAACTCATCGTAAAATTCGAATGAACCCACGTGATAATAATTTTAAAAGACGTATGATGATTTTGGTAGTGTTCTGCATGCACTGTTGGGGGTTATTTGTTTTACGAGGTTGTTTTCATGATAGACGATTAACTACGTAAAATCCTCCGAGTGAAGTCATTAAAGTTGACCATTATTACAGATGAAAATTAAACCGTTTTTAAATCAAATAATAGTATTACTACAAATTTCTGCTCTTTCTATGTATGTTTAAAAATAACTCTTTTATAACTAGATCACTTAATTTATATATCATATATGCTGAGTACAGTCAAAATAAATTAAAAATATTGTCTGTGGTTGAAAAAAAGGAAAAAGATTAAGTTTAAATCTATAAAGTCATTAAAAGAAACTTGATATTTCTAAATAAGATTAATGGAATCAATAGAAATCGATAGCTAGAGATTTTTTAATTGCATCTAGTTTCATAGCTTCGAAATACATCATTAATGAAGTTAAAAATTGACTCACGGTATGTACAATTCAGTCAGTCAGTCGGTTACAACGTAGAACTTCTTACGTAAGTACATAAGTTCAGGCTGCCATACCACATTAGCAAAGAGAAGCAACTGCCAGTTCAAATCCCATAGTGGTAGAGATAGTAAAAGTATTAGTGGTCAAGGAGAAGGAAGATTAAGGCACGAAGATACTATTCACGAAGTATAGTTCAGTGAGATAACTATAGAAAGAGGAAGATAGAAATGATGAGGAATCCAGCAGATTAGAAATTCAGAGAGCACGAGTGGATGCAACTGCGCTATTGCAAACGATTTTGAGCCGTCTTTCAAGGTCTATGAACATGGAATACTATCATCTCGCGAACCCCAACCAGGTAGTCTGCATCTACCAGCATGATTCAGTCTTGTAACTTCATGGACATGTGCCATGTTTTGTTCTGACCGCCCCCAGCTTTCTTCCAACCTACTTCTATAACACAAAACATTGATTGTCGAGGCAGACGGTGAGTATGCATACGCAACACATGTCCCAACCACCTCAACTGATGAGATTTCAATACTTCATCTACTGATATACCATCCCTACCTAGTACTCGTTTCCTAACTAGGCTCTCTCAACTCTTTTCGACCATATTTCGCATCCATATAAAATAGGACAGAGCGAAATGCTGCACAGTATACTCAGCCTTTGGTTAGCAGACGGATATCTCGCCTGCGCCATAAGTGACGCAAGTTGGCAAAAGCCAATCTAAATAAGCGAAGCGGTCCATACGCTTAACTAATTCACTCCCTACCACTACTTCAGGTGCCAACGCAAGCCAATCTTGAGACAACAATTTGCGTCTCGAGGGTAAAAACCACACCCCGAGTATGCTTGCATTGTTGCTTAAGGTAGTCAGAAGACTCTATATTTTGTCAGCGCCTTCACCAAATACAACTATGTCGTCATCATATTCTAGGTCAACAAGCGTGTCTCCTGGTAGAAGGTTCACTCCTGGAAAGTCAGACGAAGATAGTGTCAACTCTAAAAGCATGTCTTCGACAAAGTTAAACAAGTATGTTCAACTGCTTAAAATCATTTCAAAAGTGAATTCGAAGAAATTACCACCATAATAATTGTATTGTATTAAATACGCTCATCGCATGCAATTTCAAGTGTACCATTTTTATTATTATTTTCATTTATTGATTTCACAGGTGCCCTTATCACATATTTCAGTGGATATTGTTTATAAATTAGGTAAAATTCATATACAACCTCATGTTAAAGCAGTTGGTCAAGCTACAGGTGTAGAAATGGAAGCATTGACAGCGGTTTCTGTTGCTGCATTAACTGTTTATGATATGTTAAAACCATTAAAAAGAGGATCAATTATTATTGAGAAAATTGAACTATTAGAAAAACTTGGTGGATCAAAAGGTTCCTATTTAAAACTTAATGAATCAACAAAATAATTGAAACTCAATTATGACTTCAGATATTTTGTATCTTTCTATTTCATATTATTACGATCATTCAACTAGAAAGAACCATTTCCATAACTTTGTTCATCTACAATATCAATGTCAACCAATTTCAGATGAAATGTCATTAATGATGGTTTGTAGTTAGACAATTGAATTAACTGAAATATTATGGTTGAGCATCAGCTTTAATGTTTGAAAATAAACTGTGACGCGCTTTGAACGGTTTCTTTTATGAACGATATTGAGTTCTAAAATAGATGTAGAGAACTTTGATCTGTACCTTAATTCAGAAATGGAGTTTTTTGAGTCCCTTAAATTTTAGTGATTGATACTGCGTCACCTTAAACTTTTCTGGTTGCCACATGGATAAGACTTTTCACAATGGTGTAAATAGAGTTAGTGACCTAATGATGAATGTACTAGTAATAGTATATGGGGCGCATAGTCTTGGTTGACCGACAAGCCTGCTGCACATGCACATCACTGCTTTTTAGGCAACACAAGGACTTTCACTTTAGCCGTTTAGTGATCACCCCTGCCCCAGTCTGGAACGTACATGTTGTCCAATTTGGCCTGCAAGCAGGTCGGACGTCCAAAAAGCACGCACACGAACAGCGGCCCCCGTTCGGGCACAAGATCCCTCCACCAATCCACTACCCCAAATCCCCAATCGGCATGGACGGCAAGGGGGGCTTACCCAGCCGGACCTGGCACCCTGAACGGATTACCAAGCCCCGCAGCAGTGCACTAACCAGCAGCCGTTCCAACCGTCTGGCCTCCAACTGCCTTACGCTGTTACAATCGACCGGAGCCCTCAGACCCCACATGAAGCTAAAGATCGAGTTTGTCCCACAAGGTCAGTCGGAATGTACACACCCATGAGGAAGATGTCATGGACTCAACCAAGTGCAAGCACTCGGCCATGCTGGGTTAATCCCACAGAAGTGGGCAGATATCATTGGCGTCCAGTACCCTTTAGCACCGGATAACATAACCCAACTCCAGACCCTTGTTTAAGGGCCTCGACGCCAGTTTACACAATACACCGAGACGCAGAGTGTTCAGGACAACCACATAGGGTCGGCGTCAATAGTCCAGGATCTCTACAGCTGATTCCCCAAACAGAACGTCTAAGGCCACCTTCAATCATTCTGGAAAGCTACATCCCTTTCAAGGTATTTGCTGCTACGGAATGATAGAGGACAAGTGCTCAAACCATTATCGGAATTTACCTACGCTCAATGGACGGGATTCAGACTTAGATACGTTCAGTCCTAATCCCCCAGAGTGGATAACCGCATCCACAACCTTGTGACCATGAACACGTACCATTATTCTGGACCATGATAGGCACGGTATCCTAAGCGTTCGGAACGGCTTTTAGCCGCAGCGCTGTAAACACCACGTTGCCTGGCAGGACCACGAAGAGTTAGTCGCCACCACAACCCCCAGAAGGCTCCATTTATGCGCGTCACCTAGTATACCCATTCAATTAGATGACGAGGCATTTGGCTATATTCATGGTCAACCAACATGCCTGCTGCACATGCACATCGCTGCGTTGATATACAGCGCAAGGATACTCACTGTTGCCAACAGTACTGACCCCTGCCCCTTTCGGGTACATACATGTTGTCCAGTTTGGTTTGCAGACACATCGGACATCCAAAAAGCACGCACACGAGCAGTGGCCCCTGCACGGGCACTTATGAATCAAGAAATCCCACCAACCAAACCACAGCCCACAATCCCCAATCGGCGAGGGCGGCAAGGCGGGCTTATCCTTCCGGACAAGGGGCCCCGTAGCAGGTTACCAAGCCACCCAAGCAGTGCACTAACCAGCAGCCATTCCAACCGTCTGGCCTCCAACTGCCTTGCGATGATACAATCGAGGCCCATCTTACCCCGCATTCAGCTAAAGATCGAGTTTGTCCCACAAGGTCAGTTAGAACGTACACCCTTCCATGAGGAAGATGTCATGAACTCAACCAAAGGCAAGCGCTCAGCCAAGCAGGGTTCATCCCACAGAAGTGGGCAGACATCATTGGTGTTCAATGCCCCTTTCAGCACTAAAGCACCGGAACCCAACTTGAGACCCTTTTTAAGGGGCCTCGACGCCAGTTCACACTATATCCGGTGAAGCATGTAAGGGACAACCACATAGGGTCGACGTCAGTAGTCCAGGATGTCTACGGCTGCTTCCCTAGATATAGAGTCCAGGGCCGCCTTCAATCATCCTAGAAGGCTACATCCCTTTCAAAGTATTTGCTACTAACACTGGCGATATGTAATACAGCACCCCGAAGACAATGGCCCTCGGAAATGTCGCAAGACAACCACCACTTTCAAGGTATTTGCTACTAACACTGGCGATATGTAATACAGCACCCCGAAGACAATGGCCCTCGGAGATGTCGCAAGACAACCACCACTTTCAAGGTATTTGCTACTAACACTGGTGATATGTAATAATTAGATGACGAGGCATTTGGCTACCTTAAGAGAGTCATAGTTACTCCTGCTTAGGGCGCATACAGCCATTAGACTGAAATAACTCATCAAACATGTCATCTGAGATTATATAAATCTCAGCTAACAGTAGTACAATTTAAAAGTAGTGAGAATCACAGGATCATGGGTTGTGAATAAGAAAACAAGCCAAGAAAGATATGTGGTATGAAAGTTTTTCATAATGATCAAAAAATCATAGTATTTCAATAAGAAATAGTGATGTATTACGAGATCTACACCTTGATATGGTCTATATTATTCCATTGCAGAAATTGTCAATCATAGAAGCATTACGTGATATATATAACTATTCAAACTTCATTGTGTATAAATAGGTAAGCAAACAGAAACAATTAGTAGAGTTGAAGTATTTTATCTACATTTAAGTACAACTAAACATCAGTTGAATGGTAAAAACACTTGACCATTTTAACTATTATTGTTAAAAAGTAAACGATGAAAACGACTGATCATAAATTTTTCTGAAAATTATTCACACTTATTTGATTGAAGTATCTAGAAGAATTGACTACATCAGAAAACGCGTGTATTGTTCCGCTATACATAGTGTGGTACGGAAACTTGAGTTGATGTATATCTATGACAGCCTTTACGTTGAATATATTTCACGTTAAAAGGCAAAATAATTGAGGATCGAAAAAAGAACACAAGTGTGGCGGTTAAGGAGCTATCCTGGTACTTTTTTTCGTTACAGTTAAAATAAGAAGGTTAAAGAAAGTTGCTTTGTGATTATTCCCAGTTAGATTTCTAGTGTATTATACATCTCATAATGCTTTTAAGCATTTTTAACTCAGAAAAAAACAATCACGCTCTGTCAGACGAATAAAATATTCTAATTTATAGGATTAAACTGAGCATAGTTGTATCTGAATCTAACTTGTAAGCTCAAACATCTATATAGTTGCCTCAAGTTTATCATTTATTTTGTACATTAGTTTGATGTTGACTCAGATCGATTGAATCGTCATCTTGTCTTCGATTATCGATTTCTTTAATTTTACAGAATCTAATTACTAAATTTAAAGATCAAACCAACAGCTGAATGTAATTTTGTGCAACTATTAGCAAACCTTTTTCCTTTTATTCTTATTCCAGTGTGCATAAAACATGATAGGTAGTTGAAAAGTTTATCAACTGAATTATTTTCATTTGATTAAGACTTTCTTTGCACATGTACTTATTGGAAGTAATGTTAGCTTAATGAAATAGTTGAAACGGTGTTGGAAATATGAAAAAGGTTTATCATTGTGTATGTTTTTTTCTCCAAATATGTCCTATAAAACACAGAAACAATATGAATACGTAAATAAAAAAAAACCACAAAATATCAATAGAAACAACTCAGAATTGACATTTCATCTTCAATGGATAAGTGAATTCTTATTAGTACTAAACAGATTAATTAAATATACATATTTAATGAATAGTTAAAAACAAATAAAATTAGTTTAAAATTATTATAATGCATTTACATTTTCCATATGCAGACATGCACATATAAAAACGAAATCAGAAAGCCTTGTTAAAAAAGTGATTTTGACCTCACATAATAAATACATCAATGAATTTGGATACAGATTATAATACAATGGTTAGGAAATAAGAATATTTATTTATTTATGCTATTGTGCAGCTAAACAACGGCTGATTAGTTATACACTTGTAAAAGAACACATTTTTGGTTTAACCCCTATAAAAACTATTGGGGAAGCATACCATCGTACTTCTGAAGAGGATTCATATAAAACTTTGTGCAATTCTTCAAGATTAAAAGAATTTATGTTATCATCATTTTCTTTATAAGATTCTATAATATCAGGAACAATTTTCAATACATGAACAGGACAAGTTCGAGGTAAACGGAATTGTAATCGAGGTAAAAACCATGATGATGAAAAATCTTTTGATGTACATATATATATGTAAGTACGTGTAGGAGGAAAAGATTTAAAAACATTGTCAAAAAATGGGACTTGTATAAGGGATTCAAAAAATTCTCTAAAAGAAACATTATCTATCTGATTGTTATTTTTAGTTTTAGGGTAGAAATCATTGAGATCTATGAGAAATGCTCGTTTCGGATTATTCGGTAGACCACCAATCATAATAAGAAAGTAGAAAATAGATTCTGATTTAGACAACAATAGATTAGATTCAACTTCTTGAATTGATTGTAAAAGTTTTACTTCCTTTGGCTGTAAATTATCCTGTTAATGGGTAGGAATAATAGTTAAACAACAGAAGGTTAACATACCAATTTCAATCCCGTGTCAAATTCATTTTGAAGAGGATTTAGAAGTGATAAATCTGGAAATTGACCAGTAAAATACATAAACAATTTCATGATTCTACAAACTAGGCTACAGCGTTCACCTAAAGAAAACTGGGTAACTCCAGCGGGAAGACAACAGAAGTCCATTTGTTGTTGATATTATAATTGAAACAAATCACGTTTTAACCACATTAGAAGCTGAAAATTATTAAACAATAACGTATTATATACGATTTACTTTCAAAGTATGAGAACAAAATAGATGTCCAAAAAACTATGAACAGTTATAAAGACACGATTGCTGCAGCAGCTTTACCACTTTTTCAATCAAAAGTGCAAACAATCAGTCCATTATAGCTTCACCTACTAAATTATGGGCCATGGATATGATGAAGACAAGCTGTTATGAAGGGGTGGTGATTCAAACTCTTTAATAAATATATAAGTTTTCCACCGGCGAGCTACAAAAAGCATAAGAATCACAAGTTTGATACGAAACAATATTGGTTTTGGCACCTAAACTAGTGATAAGGAGTGAAGTAGTTGACCGTGTTGAATACTTTACTTATATTGGAAGTCTCGTCAGTGCTAATGGTGTGATGAGAGACACACAGAGACGCAATCGTCAATTCAAACCCCAAAGTAGTTGAGGTAGTAGAAGCATTAGTAGAAATGAAGAGGATTGGGGATCGAAGATGAGGTTCGAGAAGTATAATCCAGTGCAATAGATTTAGAAAGAAAATTAGGATGATTCAGATTAGAATTTGGAAGCGGGAAAAGAATAAATGCATCTGCGCCACTGCGAACGATTTTGAGCCAGGTCATCCAAGGTCTCTAACCATCGATTATTATCATCTCACGGACCCCAACCAGGTAGTCTACACTTATCAACATGACTGAATACTGTATTTAGTGACTTCATGGATTCAAGCCATATTTTTGTCTGGCCGTCAGTAGCTTTCTTCCAACCTATTCCTACACTACAAAACATTGCACGTCGAGGTAGTCGGTGGATAAACATACAAACACATGTCCCAACCACCTCAACTGATGAAGTTTCACCACTTCATCTATTGATCTGCCATTCTTACATAGCACCCGTCTCCTAATAACAGCGTTGCTCACTCGGGTGTCCCACGATATACGAGCAATGCTTCGAAGACACCTATGATCGAAAACCAATAACCGACGAATATCTTCTACTCTCACTGGCCATGTTTCATAGCCATAAAGTAAGACGGAGTGAACTACTGCACGGTACACTCGTCCTTTGTTTAGCAATCGGATATCAAGCCTACGTCATAAGTGACGCAGGTTGGCGAAAGCCAATCGAGCCTTCTGTATCCGAGCTGAGATGTCGTCAGTCCACAGGCCATCAGCACTGATGAGACTCCTCATATAAGTGAAGCGGTCTACACGTCCGACTACTTCACTCCCTATCACTAGTTCAGGTGCCAGTGAAAATCAATCCTGAAACAACATTTTGCATTCGGACGAGGAGAATTGCATCCCAAACATGCTTGTATTGTCGCTTAAGGTGTTCAGAGGAATGCATTTTGTCAATATCTTCACCAAATTTGGGAAGTTTTTGAAGGGTTAGGTCCATTCTTCATACGGCCTTACCGCCAGAGACGGCATTGAAGAAACCTTGGAAGCACTGACAAATTTGTCAGTTTTCAACCTTAGAATCAAATTATCGGCAAGGCTAACTGCGCTTCGAGTACAAATTTAATTTGGTTTTTATTTTACCTGGATTATAGGAGTGTTGAACGATGCTTTCGGACATATTATTACCCCTGAGATCTTCCAAAGACACCGAACTAGGACTTGAAGACTTAATTCGAAATATTCGCATGAGTTGTATTGATGACATAATCATCTCCAGCAGCATAGTGGGAGAACAACTATAGTGCCTTAGGGTCTGCGATGAACTTAAAAATGTAACTCTTTACATGCTAACTTCACTAAATGAGGAGCTGGATCACAAGCAAATAAAAAGCTGGGTTCCTCAACAAAATCTGAGATTGCTACAATTTGACTTCTACTGGTAATAAGAAAATAAATTACGTTCTGTTAATGGTCGATTATTTCAAAAAGTAGTGTGAAACAGTGCCTTTAGAAAGGAACGATGTCGACTTGAAGTCAAATGCATCTTTCGATCACAAGATCGTATCGTTTAAAGCACCAGAACTAATGCACTTAGATCACGGGTTTAATTCTGCCAGTATATAGATGAGACATTTGTAACAGGTGTACAAACAGCTGGAAATCAGGTCATATTTTCACAACTACTTTGATTGCTTATACAGAAACATCGACTGCAAATAATGTCACACGAGGTAGTAAAGGCAATCACCAACCTAAATAAAAAGGAACATAGATTGATAGAATATACTATATGACAACAATAATGTAAGTAGTTCGTACCCTCGAGGACTTAACCAAACGTGCCGATAGCTTCGAATTTATGACATTTCAATATCCAATTTTTTCGTGAGCTAGTATAAACTGATTGATTGCTTTACGATCGAATCTTGTTCTTTCGGTAACGCCCCAGATATTTTTTAGTGTCCAATGAGTGTTAATCTAGCCGTTCGACTTGTACTCCCTGTGATTTGTATGAGTTTCTTTCTGGTTGGTAGGGCTTTTGGATACCAACGCCATCTTATTATCAGATCGGAGATCGGTTATTTGCTACATGGAGAATAATAAGGAGAGAATTTTAGTTCTGAAGAAAATATTTAAAACGTAATTAAACAGATTATTAAATCAGTACTAAAGTTAGTGTGAGGAGACCGAAGTGTAAGCAAAAACGATGAAACAGAGATAGCAGGCGAGATCGAGATTGCGTTCTGAGGAGACTTTAGGGAGTCGACATCTATTGAGGATGTTAGTTTCTTGCATCATATGGGACAAAATGTTCATAACATGAAAATCTTGACTTAATGAGTTCGAACCTGTTTTTGACTGCCCTTTCCTCAATTGACGTAAGGTCCTTTTGAAGTTCAGGTAGATTTTCTCCGTTCTAAATTGACCTCCATATCTCTTAATCATCTTTATAGGTTAGTTTCCCCGGGCTCATTTTATCCAACAAGTCTTTAAAATTATCAGGAAGAGGAATGGATCTAAGATGGTCCATTGTTAAAGTCCTGATCATGACACATGCCGATTTGCGTGCATTCTTTTTACCTTGGTACGAAACTTCATTTCCTCAAATTAGTTTCTGTGCCAAGTAGAGGTGAATCAGTGAAGCCCACTTAATGTTTCCTCGATAAATTACTGTAAATCAGTAATATAAGGTAATTTCAGCAAACATCATTTAGCTGTAAACAAAATTTATTGTAAGATTTAGAGTGGCATCTGAATTCGGAAAAACAGTTCTAGAAGATTAGTTACGCGCCTTGCACAGATATCCAAAGAGAAAGCAATTTATCTGGGCAAGAAACGGTCCTATTGTTAAATATACAATACAGATAATTATCTAAACAATATAACACTGTTCTCTGTCAAATTTAACACAGTGCGTTTCCACTTCAGGAAGAATGCTTCCGTAAAAGTCCAAAATTGTGCCCTTCCAGTCCAGATTCACGTTTACCCTCCAGTGTATTAAATCCGATATGGCTGTAGCCATAATTAAGTATCAACCTAAACAACATAATACAGTCCAGTAGAAAACATAGAAACTCCAATAAAGGTACAAAAAATAGAAATTATAACAAAGTACAAAAATTAACATCCCAAAATTGGATTAAACAGACCATCAAAATGCAGCACAGAAAGAGTCAGTAAGATCATATTACGAATATATACATGGAGGGATTTCCCTTAAAACAATGCCTTCAAAATGCATTCTACATTATTATTTTGAGATACATTGTGCTTGCATGGCAAGCACTATGTGTCGTAGACAAAGTTCATTAACATGTGAATGAAAGCACGGAAACATATTCTGAATGAAGCGGAGCAGGTCCCAAATTTCGGATATTTAATATCAGTATCAAGTATGTCAGGATCCTCTAAGTAATAACACTGAATAAATGTTGCAGAAATCAGAGACAAAGACCATTATGTACGATCGAAAAGTTCGAAATCAATGTAAGTAGTATCTAACGTGGAGGCGGCTGTGTGAGTGGTTATCAACTCGTATAGTTAGCGATAGACCCATGATTGAATTCTACAGTGTGTGTGGTAATCATTTCAAACGAGAAATATGTTGAGAAAATATGTGGAATTTCTTTGAAAGTAAGTGCACAAACAGAAAACTCCATTAGTAGGCCCTCTGGAATTACGACCTGTCCCAAGCCCAGATAATGGTGAGGGTTTGTGTTAAGGTTAACTACTCTGTCCTGTAGAAAAGTGACCAAC